TATATATATATATATACTGTCGTATATGATAAACACTGTATATGTACATTTGATGATATATATATATAATATATATAGGCCTATATATAGTCCAACATATATATACATTGTAGGCGTATTACACACGTCTACATACAAATAGACATAGGCTAGATACATAGGCCTACACACCCCCTCGCCACCACACGTACAAACTGTATAATAAATTGTTTTATATTAACTTATGGTCCTGTGGAAACACAGAGAATAGTCTAGCCAACTACTTGTCACCCCTATGTTTACATGCTGAACATAGGCCTATGACATAAAAAGCAACATAATAATAGGCCTGGGAGTATTTTTTTTTCGTTTGTCCCATGCATACCTAACATATCGCATCCCAAAAGTAGTTGTGTAGGTTTATATATCTTCAGTTTGGATTTATGAAGGGTTAAAGGGTCATAAATCACCACAGATAACCAGAGAGGTCAAATGAGATAATGTTCAAAGGCATAATTACGCTGACAATCAGTAAAGTCAACAGATGAAAAAAAAACCAACATTTTCACATACTACGAACATAACTTTTGTTGCCAGATAAAAGAATATGCTATAAACTTAATGAGGGGCGAGAAAACCAGTTAAAATCTATTTATAATTTATTTATTAAAATGTATACAAACAATTCATTTTTATTTTCAAGTTTGTATTCGATTTAGTATTGCCAACCACACTTTTTGATCCTTTGTATTAGGTTTTGAAATAGGCCTAGTGGGCTAATAGTAATACCTGATGGCTAATTCATTCATAGTAAACTTCTAGTATAGCACCCGTTGGCAGTTTTGGCTACGAAACAGAAAATACGGGCTTATAAAAATAGATTAGTAGGCTAACTACACATTTCTGTTTGCTACTGTAAGTTTACAAGAGTGATATTTAACATTTTATTTTCGTACTCACGACCAACTAATAAAAGTATTGTAAATGAAATGACGAATAATTTCAATCAAATTATTAAGCTGGGTATACTTTTCTGCAAAATAGCTGACTGACACTCGTTTTCCCGCCGTGGGATTAGCACCGCAGTCTCGCTGAGTTCTGCGAAAATAAATGTTTCCCCACCCAATAACAAAGGTAGGCCATTTAACGACATCAGCCAATCACAGCCGAGCAATTAATTATGTCATGTACCGTTGGCCAATCAAAAGTAGCCCTTTAAATGCCACTAACCTTTTGTCCTCGCTAACGGTTGTAGTAGATTCCATTTTTACTATCATGGACCTGTCTGATGTTAATATTTCTTACAATTCTTTATTCATTTTGGTATCGGAATGAACTGGAATTTATAATCAACTTGATTGCAATAATCTTCATTATGTTGTGCAAATGTTGGTAGGTGGAAAATACACGAATATCGCATGGATTTGTAGAAATTGTACGTAGTAGTAACGTGTTGTGTTTACAATTTTAAACCTACGCTGGGAATTTGAAAAACTCCATCTCAGCTGTTTCCGATATCGTACGCGAAGATTCAAAATGGAGTACTACGATTGTCAAATGAGTGATATTTTTGATGCAGAGGTAAGAACTGAAATGGATCAAATATTAAATTCAGCCCAATTGAGCACATCATCAGCGGCTACAGAGCTTCATTTTGCTGGAACTGTAGATACGATCGATTTAAGTAACTGCAACTCTAACTCCAACGAGATAGCAGGCGACTCGACAGAACTCATCAACCTGTCATGGCTGCAGAACGGAATAAACGGCTCGTCAACCAGCTTGGATTTCTCGCAGCTTTCTTCAGCCATGGACGTTCATAATTTACTTGTCGATCCACAAACAGGATCGCCAGTTACTTTAGATTTTCTTTTAAATCAACAAAATGGGGTTCAACAACAGCAAGTAAGTAGGCCCAGTCAGCCACCACAGCAACATCAAACCGTTCGAAGTGCCTTGGAAGCTCAGAATTTTGCACAGCAACAAGCTAGCCAGCAAATTCTAAATAGTCAGGTTCCATATCAGCTCCAGCAACACTATATAAATTCAAACATTCATGTTATACAAAATGGTACCGTTCAGAATGGAAAGCATACAAAAATCGAACCCCAGCCCTCTGATAACACGCAAGAAAAGGTTTATCCGAAACCAGCTTATTCTTACAGTTGTTTGATAACGATGGCTCTAAAAAATAGCAAAACTGGATGTTTGCCCGTTAGTGAAATATATGCATTTATGTGGTAAGTTTTTTTTAGGTGAATGAAAAAAAATTGATGTCTGGCAAACTCTTTTCTAAGTTGTTTTTTTTTATGTGGTTTTTTTTTTTCATGTTAATTTGTGTAATTAAATTCATATATTTTTATTTACATTGCAGCATATTATATAAAAATTAGGCTGTGTGAGTAACTAATGGTGCAGTGCTGTAATGCATTATTGTTAAATTTATAAATGTTACACAAGTTCTCACTTGTGGATATAATGAAGTGAAGCATAAAAACAGTATTTTTTAGCATTCTTTTCATTTTTTTGTGTAAATTCGTATTATAAATATTATTATTATTTACAGCTATAACCAGGGAGAAATTCTTATAAATTAGAAAGACAATTATCTATAATTAAAAGCTCCAAAACAAGTTATTCTACAATTTGAGATAACATATTTATATTTATACAGCTCTTTTTAAAGAAAGACCGATGTAAATTTATAAAAATTAAAATGATTTAATTACATAAGAATTTTTATGCCAAGTTGAATTTGAATGTAGGTACATAACTGAGTGGTATGCATTGCACAGTTAAATATTGGATTACTGTATGTATTACGCATACTGTACTGTATGTTTACTGAACTAAAATCAATACATTCCAAATTGTCACTAGTGTGTCATCCTCCTGCAGATAATTATCTCTCCCACCCAACAGGTAACAATGTAACCATTTCTTCATGTCAAATATATATTTGAAGCACAAAAATTATGTGGAAAAGGTTTTTTTTTTTTTATAGACAAAGTGTGATTACACCCTCTCTTATTACAGAAGAATTGAGAAAAGGGAATTCCCCTTTTAGTTTCATTGGCTATCACTTGACCTGCAGTAACTTGTGTGCAAGTTTTCCCATTGCAAAAGTTCATGCATGTGTTAGAATTTTGTTTTTAAATCTGGGGGAATCTGTATTTATGGTGCATAGTTCTGGTTGAATTTGGACAAGAACATTAAATTCTCAAAATCATTTTGATGTAGCAGTACTCACTGACTGAAAATGATTTTATTTACTCACAATAATAATATAATTAAGATTGATAACTGTCCTCACCTACAGTATAAAAAAGTTAAAATAGATATTTAGTGTTGCTGGATAAGGAAATTGAAACAACTGGATTTAGAAGAGGGTCAGGACAAATACATAAAATGGGATGGAGTTTCAGAGAGGATTGGGATAAGGAAATAAAATTGTTTGGAAATGGACGAGCGGAAGTATGTAAAAAATAACAACACCTGATGAATAGGGATGGTTAAGGAAATAATAATACTCGGGTAGAGGAGAGATGGCCGAGATACAAATACTGTGTTATAGTAACACTTAGTGTGAAAGTAGAGAGAGGGATATTTGACAGAGGGAAGGATGTTATAAAGAATTGAGCAACACTGGGTGCAGAAATGAGATTTAAGCAGTCTTAAATGGGCTATGGAAAGACATACGATGGGGACAGAGGGATTAGGGGCAGGGTAACCTTGGATGGAGCTATAGGAAAGAGGGATGGGATAGAAATAGGTTACAATAACCGTGGATTGAAGTGGAGATGTTGAACGGGGGAGGGGTAACATTAAGGCAGTATAAGCAAGGTGTATTATTAGTTAGGCAACTTAAAAGTGATGGTGAGAAAATCATTGGAGGGAAAGAATATGAAGTTATATAGTAAAATGTATCTAGTATTTTAAATAATATTAATAATCATAAATATTTTTTTTCTTTTCAGTGAGAATTTCCCTTACTTTAAGACAGCTCCAGATGGTTGGAAGGTTTGTAAATTGTTTTTGTTTTTTTTTTGGGTTAAAAATTGATAATTGATAATCCATTATTTGTTTAATACCTGTAATAATTATAGACGAACAGCACCAAGCTTTTTTTTAAAATTGATTTTATTTTCATTTTCTACGTAAATAGTTGAGTGATTGATGTTTGTGTGACTGAGAATTGCTATAGTGATCGTAAAAACAAACTAACTACATGCTTGTACAGTTCTATTCTTTTTTTTTAGTCTTAAAACTGGGTATCATAGTGTATAGAGACATTACACTGTAGTATGCGCTACTGTATATGGAAGACCATTACCATTACAGAAATAATTATTAGAAGGTTATTCAGAAAAGACGACTACTAGCATAGATTGCCAGCTCAATTAAAATAAATAAATAACTGTACAGTAGTCTCCACATACTCTACATCTTAATTCATCACTAGAAACAAAGAGTTAAGAAAGTGTACTGGACTATTAAGTTCTGTATTAAATAGATGTACAAGAGGCTATAATCACCATATATAAACCATTTGTTATCAGTAATATAACTGATAGCATGAGTACAATAAATGAGCAAATTCTATTGTGTAATTTGAATTCAACTCAGAACTAAATGAATGGATTGCCCACCCATTCGTTCACACCCTTCTCTTATTATTAAAAATTGTATACTACATTAATTCATTGAAACAAGGCATGTTTCTGTACCTTCTATTTTCTTTATAAATTTTACAATTTTTCTTTAAATGAGTAAAAATAATATTAATATAATGTATACAATTTTTCTCTATGCGTTCTCAAACCCAGTGTCGAGACAAAAATAAATAAAACAACAAAAACAAAAAAAAAAAGATTAAAAAAGATTAAAAAATAATATAGCATTAAAAAATGTGGTACTGTACTTGATGCTTAACATAAAAAAAAATGTAATTTTACAAGAAACAAAATTAGTAAATAGAAAATGAAAATTTTATAAAATACTTCATTGGATAATGTTTGCGACTGAGATTTATGATTACAGTGGAGTATTTATAAAAAATAATAGCATTAAAAAATATAGTACTTGATACTTAGACGAGACTTTATATTTATTCCTTGTTTCGTTAACTTTTTTTAAAGATCGTCAGAGAAGGGTGGGAAAAAAAATAAAAATAAATTTTTGTTTTCTTATTTAGCAAATAGTTTTGCTAAAATCATCCAGACAGAGGGGAAAATAAATATAAAATCTTATTGGTAAATGTAAACAGCATATTTCTTGAAGGTTTGCATGGCGAGTATCAATAAACATATAACAAATTTTCGGTACACCATGTGTAAATAAAAGAATATGATTTTTATTAAGGTAAAACCACTGGTTGGTTGTCTCAAGAGTTTTGCTAAAATCATCCAGAGACAACCAACCAGTGGTTTTTACCTTAATAAAAACCATATTCTTTTATTCACACATGGTGTACCGCAAATTTGTTATATGTTTATAAATGTAAACAGTGTAGTAATGGGATGGTTAAATCCTTTAAATTTATATAAATAGGAAGAAAGTATCTATGGAGATTTCAAGGCAATGGAGGGCATAATGAAAATAAAGAAAAACTTAAATTATTTTTTTCTAAAATTTCCATTTTTTTTTGGTGTAAATTTTTGTTGTTATCATTATTTGTGGGCGGCGGGTTCGGGTATAAAAAATTCTCACATTATTATTAAAAAAGAACCCCAGTGATTTTAGAATTGAAAACAATGCCGTAAATGTTATGAATAAGGAGGTAAATAGAAAATGTGCAAATGTTATAAAATACTTCGTTGGATAATGTTTGTGACTGAGGTTTATGATTATAGTGGAATATATAGAAATTTGAAGGGTCATTAATCACTCCATCTAATTAACCACAATTATAGGTTATTACCCTCTACAGCCTATGCCTCTATAGTACTGTAGTGTAATATTTGGAAAAATTATTACCAAGTTATTAATATTATATATATTAAAATTATCATTAAAATAATGTACCTGTAAATTAAATTGAGGTTAATTTTGGAACCACAATGACTTAAAATGTTATTGTGTCTTTTATATCTGAATTTAAACAATCAATTATTTATTATTTTCATAATGGGAGTCTTGACTGAATTTTAAGACTGACTTGTAATTTATGAATGTGTCAAAAATGATAATTCGCATTTAATATCAATTTGGAAGTAAATCAAAACAAAAAAAAAACCTCAGCACACGAATCCTTCAGATAATAATATTAAATATAGCACCATGTTAAGATGTAAGTTTCAAACTTAGTGTGATATAATTATTCTGTTGATATGTTGTTTAATCCTTCTTGATGATAAATTAAATTTGAATTGTAAGTGAGGCGACACAGTATCGTGTATCTAATATTGCACATGTGCGAAAGGAAATAAGAAATTACTGAACTGTCATTATAACATACAGTAGGCCTGTTGCAATAACAACACACTGTTAATACTAAAAATAAAAATTTTCTCTTAGTATTTATGTGTTATGATATATGGGATTTGGGAAAACTTGTCATATAAACATTTTAAATTTCTCAATAGCACAATAAGTACAGAATACATAATTTGAGTTGCAAAAAAAGTGATAGTTCTTACTGTATTTAGATTTTAAAATATTTTCATTTATTTATTTTATCTACTGCATTAATAAATACACAAGAATTACAAGACCACAAGAGGGAAAGTATTGAGAATGGGTCCTCAACTCATGTAAAAAACAAAATTCATAGTAATAGTATATAAATTTATTAATACAAACAAATTATACATTAATTGCAGTAAAATTTAATATGAAAATAAAAAATTTCTGAACAGGTTACCTATTATATAAAAAAATACAATCATTACATTTTTATAATTTTAGCTCAGATGTTTTTGTTTATATCTTTCCATTTCTCTTAATTATGTCAATGTTGTTTTGACTTAAGGGATTGAAATGTAAGTGTGATAAGAATTACAATAAGTACTGTACAGTAATTCCTAATAATGGAGGTTCTACAATAGAGTACAACAAGTGTATATAATAACAAGTGGCTGATTACAGTTCACCAAATTTAACAACAATACAATTTCTATTGGTTTTAAATGTGTCATTTTGAGCCATCAACTCCACCCTCTGTTTTCCTTTGTCATGAATTACTAATTGCAGTTGTAATATGAATTAGTAATTTTAACCACTCCTTCCTGTCCGTATTTTTCTTTTATTTAGCCTATCTATATCTAGTAACAATGGATGATTCAACCCTTTGTTTGTGCCCTTTGGAACATTCCACTGAGGGTCTAAAAACAAAAAGCAACATATCACTTCACCTCTGACCTAATACTGATCTAATCCAGGTGCTTGCAGCTGATTGGTTGATTTCCCTTGTGATCTGTGACTCATTGATGATGTCATCAAAGTAAATCATTCGGATTGGTCAGAGTGTATTCTTCCAGAAAAACACCTGCTCTCAATATTTGTTATTGATCTATATTTGTGTTCACTGATCCATATCCACGATGATGGAAAAATATTATGGTTAAGCAAGTGCATTGCAGTTGTACTGTACTGTAAAAAGATATACATGATTCATGGAAATTGACAAGCAATGCATAAATTATGATAATTATCTGTAGAGGATGAAAAAAATATTTTATTTTGGAATTATTTATTATCTAATCTTTTTTTAATAATATAATTGTATGATGGGGTTTAGAAAAGTCTTCTCAATTTGAACCAAATTCTTGTGTACTGTAAAAAGATATACATGATTCATGAAAATTGACAAGCAATGCATAAATTATGATAATTATCTGTAGAGGATAAAAAATTATTTATTTTGGAATTATTTATTATCTAATCTTTTTTAATAATATATTGTATGATGGGGCTTAGAAAGATCTTCTCAATTTGAACCAATTTTTTGTGTTCAAGATTAATACGGTATTAATAATCATATTAATTTGTTATAAATATTTGTATTGGGTATTTTATAAACCGAAATAATAATTCAAATTATTATATTGCATGTGTAAAAATTATTTATTTATAATTTATTTAAGCCATAGAATAAAATTCACAAAAGATGTAATTGTGTTACGTAACATTGTATTATTAATAATTGACTGAATAGTGAGTAATAATAATAATGATAGTAGCCTGGGAGGGGAAAATTCAGGATTTTATTCATGAGGGGAAGGGGAACAGAGGGTGTGGTCGCAGTTTTTATCAGTACAAATAATAATAGGAAGTCTTCTGTAATCCTCTTGATTTTCCATTGTTTTTGATGATTATTTAATTGGCCAAAAAGAATGGATGACAGCCTGAGCATTATACACTCGGGTGTACAATTTTAAGTAACCCTTTGTATTGAATATATGCAATTCAGGACAAAGATGATGCAAGTTATAGATTATTCTCCTACCTTTATTTTTACACATGATAAATATAATGTGAATATAGATTGGGAAAAACACATTGTGACCAAACAGAACATAACAATATGCTGAGTAATGCTCCGATGTTGTAAATATTAAAGTGACATTAGTAGTTCACTGTGTCACTGATGACAAGGTCAGAATACTTGATAGAGTGCACGAAGTTTCACAAATTACCAATCAGAAAATAATGATTAACAATAATAATAAGGAAAAAACCAGTTTCAATTGATGAACATTTTTTATTGATTTTTATAATATATTGATAAAAATATAAAATACATTTACCATGAAATTGAAATGTGTTAACAAAAATGCAATGATACATTATTGAACAATTTTTTATCAAGTTATTAAAGTGTTATTTTTTTTAATTACAATTAGTTCCTTGTTTGGCAGTACTCATATTTTGATTGTATGTATAATCTATTAACAAATGTTTATTTTATTTTTTTTATTATAAACATTAAAATTTGAAACTACTAAATTAAAAATTTAATAGTTTTATTATTTTCAATAAATTATCATTTGAGAAATGTGTTACTTTTACTGGCTTGAATGGAGAAGGTTTTATTTATTTGGTTTTTTTACTAGGACTAGTCGGTATGCAGCTATTATATTTTTCATATATACAAAACTTTTCAGTTAGAAGGGGGGTAAAGTAACACTTAATTTAGGCGTTACTCAGACTGTAGCTATAAACTGAAAGGTCCACTGATTAATCTCATATAAGATAGTATAATACATAATCCAAGTATCGAAATGAACGCTATCGTGTCGGGATTCAATATTTCAACATTAATTATGTCTTTGTCATCATCAGGAATGCTATAACTGTGGAGTTAATTTTTAAAATTTGTCTGGATGATGGTATTTATTCTCACTTTCCTATTAATTATGTAGTCTCATTTATTCATTTTATTTTTTTTCATAAAGAATAAAAAAAAAAAAACAAAGACTATTCCTAACAGTGAACTAAATCGAATCTAAAGGGTCATCCAGTCAGTCATTCATTGATGGCCATTCATTGACCAATTTCATTCAAGGTCATTTAATGGTCTTCCCTTATTGTCTAAACTACAATGAGCTTTCTGACTATTTTTGTACTCCATTATTATTCTGAGAGAAATAATGGCATATTCTTATTTGGCATATTCCATTATAATTTTGGGGGTAGAATTTGTATCATTTTAATTAAATAATAAAATTTCTAAAAAGACAAACAATTGAGCAACTAAATTATTTACTACTATCTAAGCTTGCATGTAAACCTAAATTTGTGTTTTGTTGGAAATTATTTATAGATATTTTGAAAGCAAAGGTAATAAATTACAGTGTTTTCTCCCTACTGCTTACTTTTTTTTGTTGCTTAAATTTGTCCTTCCTAGAATTGCAAATTTGAAATGGTATTATGATATGAATTTTTAAATGTCAAGTTGAGATGATAAAAAAAGACATGGATTTTAATTTTGGAGGTTATTTTTTTATTTTTTTTGCAATTGCAGAATTCTGTGCGGCATAATTTGTCACTTAACAAATGCTTTGCCAAGATCGAGAAGCCCCAAAGCAGTTCGGGATCAAGTAGGAAGGGGTGCCTATGGGCTTTGAATCCAGATAAGATTGCCAAGATGGAGGAAGAAGTGTCAAAGTGGACAAAGAAAGATCCAGCTGGAATCCGTCGAGCCATGGCTTGTCCAGGTAAATTCATCCATTTTATTGTTTAGTCATGCTCCCCGTAGTTCAAACTTACAACACACGCAGTATATCTAGACCTAAATTTATGCCATGGATAGACATCCCTGGATAGTCATTTGCATTTATAAATAAATGATAAAATATGTGGGATGATGCGTTTTTCCCAAGAGAAAAGACAGAAAGAAACCCCATTTTTTTTTTTGGCCTTTAATATACAGCAAGTTGTGGATCGTACAGTAGGTCCTTAAGCATTCTAAAATAACAATTTAAGAAAACCATTCTTAACCTGTCAAGGGTCTCACACTGGCTTGCTTGAGATTTCGGCATTTTTTGAAAATTGTGCGGGAGGGCACAAACTTTAAGGAAAATACAGTCTAGTGTTGATATAACATACATCTTTATAGTGAATACAGTGCATTGATTCCGAGTGCCACTTTGACATCTCATTTTAGTTTTCTTTAGTTTCTGCTGAGACGGCGTCAAACACTGTGACGATCGCTACGGGATCACTATCGCTGATAAGTCGTGTTAGTTTGTACACTACATGTTGTATGCTTGATTTGAGAAAATAGCACATTAAAAAGATATAATTTGAAGAAATTCTGTAATGTGTGAGAATATATACAGTAGGCCTCGCTTGAAGTTAAATGCGCGAATTTCCCATGAGATGCATGAGCCTTGACAGGTCTGAACCAAGCCCTAAAATTTCAAAATAATCTTCTACTCTAAACTAACGTATTAGATGATTGTTAATTGGCTGTAATGAGCTTATCTGTTATTTGTTTGAATGTTTTAAATTAACTGGTACCTTTGAATTTTACTGAAACAATAATATATTATTGCCAATTACCTCTGTTAAAATAAAACTTCTATTACTTTGCTGGAAAAAAAAGTTTGTAAATTGCTATTTAAATCTTTGTTACAATGAAACTGGTACGGTAGGCCTACTTTGCTGAAAAAAAAATATATTAAATTGCCAAATATAACTTTGTCGAAATAAAGCTGTATTTTAAATTTTGCTGTTCAAAACAAAGGTAATTAATCTTGGATAAGAAAGTATAATACATACTCCAAGTAGTGAAACACACGCCATGAAGTTGGGATTCAACATTAATTATGTCATCGTCGCAATATTGCATTCCAGTACAGTATACAATTGAACTTGCCTAAGTCGAACTTGTCCTGACTCGAATAATTTCTAAGTCATCTTATTTTACATGGCAAATTGTTGTGTTTTCCATTATTTAACGATGTAAGTTAAATTTGATCCAAGTCGAACAATTTTTCAATGCCATTTTGGATTTGACTTGGGCAAGTACGTTTTTAAATTTCCATAATTGAACACCAATATTATCATCATCAATATCAATCAATCAGCATTAAAATTTATTAAAATATTATTATTTTGCTACCAGTTGGATATACTGATGATATGAATTAAAATCAAAATATTTGTTGTTGATTTATTATCGTAATGCTGTATAAGTAATGGGTTTGAAAATTACTGATAATATCTACAGTTTAGATTGACACAAAATGCAAAATTACTATAATTGTATAATACAGTACAACTGTATAAATAGTGTTTGTGTATTTCACTCAGGCTTAAGGCTTAGAAATGAATACAATATGCCTTCCTTCAAATTTAAATGTCATCTGTATACTGTATGTTAAAATGCGTCAGTATTGTGTGATGACAAAAAAAAATACCTGAACCCTCGATACTGAGCTGTATTGAAATATTTGGTACTGTAAATAGTTATAATATTTATGCACCACATAGGCTTACTTTGTTATATACAACAATGTATAAAATATTTTCCCCCTGATATACAATGGAATCTTCCAATAAAGGGATTGTAGCATGAAAAAAAGAGGAATTTAATGCAATTAATAAATTATTTTAGGATTGATTAAATTGTGTTATAATTGAACAATTGATCCTTTTTACTAGCTTTTTATGCAATTCAATGTATTAATTTTCGTACATTTTTTATCTTTTCAGAGGATCTTCCTAGCATAGAAAATGGAACCAAGGGTCTTCCTGGGGCTTCTCCCAATAAGCCTTCGAAGGCAACATCTAAACACAGTAGTAGTAGCAACACTGTTGTTATGTCCTCTCCAGCACTGACCACCACGTGTGCCCCAACCACAACAACTCTTGCCAACGACTTCATGAACACTGACATCCTATCGCTTGACACTCACTTAGAACTTGGCCTTCAAGTAAGTTGACTTTTACTCATGAATAATTAATTAACTTCATTTACATAAACAATGCTTACCAACTGTATAGTGAAAATAAAGCCAAGCATCAAATTTGTCTCAACAGACAATTTATTTGATCTACTTTCATCTAAAGTCGTCAAGTATTTTGAGAATTTCGAGATGTCAAAAGCATGGAAAGACACACTGTTGTTCGATAACATGTCTGACACATACACCATTAAACATCCTTATTAAACATTGTGGAGTCTGACAAACTCTTGGCTAAGTGTTACCTATATGAGGCTTAATGGAACTTTCTGCTAAGCCCCACACCTTGGATATTGTTGGTCCCACAAAACAATAGCGTAAATTTTTATGTTGGAAGTTGGAAGAAAATTTATAATTTCTTATTGTTATTTTTCTTACAGGACACTATCTTGGACAATATGAATTATGACACGCTAAGTATGGACCTGCCTGTTACAACTCCATTTCCAGTCAGCCTTGCAGCAGCGTTTCTCGATACCTCACCAGTCAAGGATAGCTCTCATAGTCTACACAGCGGACTTGACTCGCAGTACACGTTCAGTAGCCCTAGTAGGCCATCGGTTACCGCTTACATGTGACAATGAAGGGAATGGTCCAATCACAGGCCACTGTATTTCACCAAAGAATCGTGGATAGCAACTCAAAACAGGAATTAAAGTATCTTTTATGGAAGTTTAATTTTGATCTAAGAAATGTATAAAAATCAAGGGACTTCTCCGGTCCTTATCTAAACTCATGTATTTGGTTTCAGTGTAATGATAAATTTAGTTAATAATTCACATTGGATTTTGTCGTAATTTGAGATGTGAAATGTCAACTAATAAACTGAGAATCAAATTATATTCTTTTGAATAAAACTGATCCAAACTAGACATTAGTGAAAAAAATATGCCCTTATTTCCTAATATTGTCTCTGGACTTTTCTTAACTTTAGCGTTATTTTTAACACCCTCAATATTTCAAAAATGAATTCTTACTGCAATAAGTGTGCATTATGAAATAGAAAATATGTGGGTTGTTTATCCACAGATTTTTTTTTTTTATCTTAAATAGATTTCATAAACAAAATTATGATATTAATTTGTACATAGTATTAAAGATTTTAATCATGTAAAGTAACATTTAAAAATTCACAACATTCCTGGCATGTACATAGAAACGAATCCTGGATTCTAAACATGCAACTTTTGTCATAAATAAACGGGGTAGAAGTGGGGTGGAGGTTTAATGTGTCATCTATGCAGACGCTGTGTGTTTGATCATGATCTAGATCAATACACCTTCAGAAATCATTAATAATTTCAAACCAAGAATATATATTTAAAAAATGAAGTACAAATGGTAATTCTCATTTATATTTCAAAATTGTTATGATAGTAATAAACACAATTCAGAAAAAAAACCCAGGTATTTGAAAGTGGTCACATACAAACACATCTATAAATAGATTGTATCTATAGATAGATTTTTTCTATTAGATAGATTATATCTATTAAGTAGATTTTATCAACGGTGTGACTACTATCTGAACAAATGTGACTGTTACTCATGATGCAATGCTTTTAGAATGGTAAAACAAATAACAGTTTATATTTGTGTGTGAGTGAGCCAACTTGTATATTGTAGCCCAGCTGTAAATATTAAATTAGAGTGCATAAAATGATCTATTATTAAAATAATTTGATACTGTACTGTAATCAATTTAATGAACTGCACATGCATCCACATTATTCAACTGAATTTGCTGTTTAATAAATTTATTGAAGAAATTAACCATGTTATTTTACTTTTCAAGTTGGAATTAGGGAATTTATGAGATAAACATTGTGTGAATTCATAGCCAGATATGGTTTTGTCTGTATTTTAAATAAGTGATATTAAATTATAATTGAATTGATGTTTAGTATAAACTTGCCATCAACTCGCATACAATAACAAACAGACTATGCTACAAACCATTGCTCTGATCATGAACTCTGTTGCACAGCTATTGCTGAAATAGATGAGAAGTGACAATGAACATGCTATATTATGGGCAGTGTTTCATAGCTCATGCTATATAGTAAAGTAATAGCATGCACTATGCAATATCATGCTAATAGTGAATTTCAAATGACAGACAATGCACACATAAATACTGTATCGTATTTTATAGTAAATGATAATGAACAAGGTTGTATAGTCAATGCTATAAATAATGAACGATGTTGGACACTTAATGCTATATTAAATGTGTTGCACAGATAATGTTTAGGCGAGACTTCTTTTATTCCTTGTTTTGCGTACTTATTTTTTTTAAATATCATCGGAGGAGGGCGGAATAAAAATAAAATTTTGTTAGCAAATACTGTAGTTATGCCAAAAACCCCAAGATGGAGGAGAAAATGAATGTAAAATAGGATGGTTAAAAATGCTTCAAATTTATATATTAGGAAGAAATATACATGTCTTACTTGTGCGATTTCAAGGCAGCAGAGGGCATAATAAAAATAAAGAAAAACTTTTATTTCTATATCAAATTTCCACTTTTTCTTGGTGGTGGGTGTGCTAATTGGCCAAAAATTAAATTTTATTTTTATTTGAAATCAATATTTACATTTGGTGGGTTTGCTAAACAAGGTGTAAAAAAAAAAGTCTTGCCTCATAGTAGATGCAATGAACAATATAACATGCTACAGTAAATAATTTTTATGTTGCACAGATTATATAATAATGAATATTTCAACAGTAGAACTTGTTGGTGCTTCAAAACAGTATTCAAAAATTTAAAATGTGAAATGGGTTTTTTTTCTTGGAAATAAATATTTTAATGACTTAAGAAAATGTATGCTAAAAAATAAGTCATTGGAGGCACAATACAGTATATACCTCAATTATTTGGTAAAAATGTTGAGTGCTATTACATTTTTTGAAATGTAATATATTATATGCAGGTATCAAATTGTAATAGAAAACACAATAAGTATTTTATCGATTTACACAGTATTACACATATTTAAAAAGTGTTTTTTGTAAAAAAAAAAAATAATAAAGAAAACAAAAGTGGTTTTTGGTGTTGTGATACTGTAATATTTTTTTTTTTTAATTGTCAATCGATTAAAGTGCTGTATACTGTTTGTAAAATTAATTCTTTGTTTTCATAATTAATTTCTTTCGATTGTTTATAAGTAAACTTTGATATAAATGCTTCATGATTTCAGATTGGACATTTTTTTTAATTTTAGAAATGAAACTGCAGACTAATGCATGTAGACAAAAATTAGGTTATGCATCTAAAGTTCAGTGACCTAGCATTAGTTGCTACTCTTTACTATGTGTTTTAAATCAACACATGGTGTGTAGGGTATAGTGACATGCCTCTTGGGGGTTGAGACACACACACTGAGAAAGATGTATTCCTTGGGGTATTAATATATTTCTAGGTTGTCACAACCCCTGAAGGGTCACCTTCTGCTTGTTCAACCCTCCCCTCCCAATCAGAACCAGGGAATGTGATTTTATTAGTTTGTTGGCATTTAATGCTGCAATGTATATAGTAAGAAAATGTGCAGATTTTTTATTGTACACTGTTATACAGTAATAAACATATGCCTTGTTTAAGCAAATTCCCACTCGATATAAATATGTGAGAGTTTTCTTAAACCATGTATTAGCAATCAATGTTGCATTTGGTTTGTGATTATTTGAATATTTTTTTATTCAAGCCTGTTCACTTTATTCAAAACAATTTGAAGCTGTTTTTGTTTATGTATGTGACTGCTATATTATTTCTTTTGTATGTAGAAAGTGTTATTGAATATTGATGAGTGGGGGTAAATCAACTTAACTCATTGTAAATTTTCTATCTTAGATTTGTTGTATGATTATTGTGTATAGTCACAAAAGAAGCATTTGACATAGAACTAAAGTATGTTTTTTATACACATGAGAATGTGCCATTGTATAAAGCATTCTTGTTTTTTTTTATACATAAGAATGTAACATTGTATAAATCATTCTTGCTTGTATTCTTTTTCTACCTTGAGATCATGTTGGAAACAAATAAAAAACCTATTTCTGCTTCAAAAAACAAATGTACTCTTTTTCTTTATTACTAAATAATATAACACACACATATTGTAATATAAATAACAATTCTCCACTCGTCATATTATTGCCCTGATCACTGTTAAAAGTAAAGCTAGGTTTCCATACAATCGCTACATGCTATCGCGGTTAGATTTTGGTGATGCTGATTGGTTGGTTGTGTCAGGGATTGCCACGTAGTGATTTTAAAGAAACCAGGCATAAATATCACATAGTACACAATGTGCAATAATTTCTGTCCTGATTTACAGTTCACAAGACAGACATTACAATATCACTGAAATAATACACATTTTCTGTCCTGATTTGACATTTGTCATTAAGAGAGGAAATATACCTTGCCAAAGATGGGAAGTTTAAATGCAAGCTTTACACCAAGCGCTTGAATTTGGATGATGAAATTCCACATTTACATGCTAGAAACCACCAACTCAAGGGCCTGCATCCTAAATGCAAGACTGGAAGAAGTGTACCAAATCACCATCAATGAGATGATGCATCCTAAATAAAAGACATGTTGCACATTCTAAAAGACTATGTCAGCCATAGAAAAATAAATAGTCTAAAAAACACTTAAAATATAAAAAGCAGAAAGCAACCTGGAAATTATTAAAGTTGTATATAAATAGATGAATCTAAATTTAACGTTATCAGTATCAAATACAAAAAGTTATGTAAAGCAAATGTCAAAGGATGCTGTATTAAAAAATATAATCAATGAAAACCGTAGTAGTAAATGGCAACTTCTGTCTTCTAGTATATTGTTTAAAAGCCAAATGCAGAAACATATCACCGAATATTTTTTTGGTATGCACTGAACAAATGTTTAAACATCTTAACACGCTAATTGAGAGTTGAATAACAAGCGAGCGTTTAGTGCTCATGTAACTGACAAGATGATGTGCTTCATCAAAACATGAAACTAAAACAAAAGTTTGTCATGTGCCGCAAATTGTCAAAGGGAAACACTATTTCTGATTACGGTCAACAAACTATGTGTAGTGTGCATTTGGCTTGAAAATACAGTAGATATTTTCATAAATTTTCCTGAACAAAAATATTATTATAGTTACTTATATTATTATTATAACACCTATTAAAAATAGAGTTCATTATAAGATTTATGGAAGTACAGTAAATACTAACACAAATTTAATCCAAGTTCATAGTAAAATATAATAGTAAATGTATTGTATACAGATACTGATGGTACAATGTTAATGGAACAAGTAGGCCTATAGTCACCGATGCCAACTGTAAAATGCAAATGGAAGAACTAAGGTCAACGAAGCTCATTTTACAATATCTTTGGCAAAATAAACACTGCAGTTGGTATTAAAATGTATATGGAATAAACATTGATACTGAGAGTAAAATGTCAATGGAAGAAATACTACTGTAGAAACTCCTTGTCAAATATCTTTAGAAAATTCACACACCAAGACAGACATTACAATATCACTGATGCTGATGGTAAAATATTTAAAATGCAATGGAATAGTCACCAAAACCGATAGTATGTCTATGGAATAACAACATACAATTCAAATGCATTACTGTAATATAGTCACCATAGCTTAATGGCAAATGTCAATGGAATAAAATAGTCAACAGAGATGATATTAAAATGCCTATTAGAAATATAGTCACTGACGATGACAGTAAAAATATCTATGGAATGGAAAAGTCACTCATACAGATAGTATGTCTATGAAATAATACACATTTCAAATAACATTTAATAAAGTCACCACTGCTATTAGTAATATTTCAATGGAATAAATATAGTCACCAGTGATAGTAAAAATGTCTGGAATAAAAAAGTCACTCATACAGATAGTACATTATGTCCATGAGGTAATACAAATTTCAAACATATTTAATATATTCACTGTTGCTACAATTAGTAATATGTCAGTGGAAGAAAACAGTCAACATATCTCATCGTAAATGCCAATGGAATGAGTTAGTCACCAGAAATGATAGTGAAATGCCTGAGAAATAAATATAGTCACCGATGATGGTTGGAGATTGTGAATGGAATAAATATAGTCACCGATGTGGACATTTAAATGTCTATCGAATGCAAGATCCAGTCATATAGTACCAACCCCTTGAAAATAATGGTGATCGCTATCGCTGTTTATCTGAACTGCACAGTGATGATTTGTCCCTTACTATCTTTCGTGTTTGAATCACCAATACGTCGTTCTTGTGACTTTGGCACCTTAGACCAATCAACCGTTGAGAATTGCATCACAGAGTGTCTCATTACGCGGTCATCTTCTGACGTTTCACTAACTCCACCTTCGGTACTGAAATAGCAAGTGCACCAGTGACGTTAATAAGATATAGCTGTCTTGAACCATCAAGAATAGCTCAGTGTTAAGCAAATTTTCTGCCTAATCTTTAATAACCTCATATTTCTGTTGCCTTCAATGCCTGTGGAAACAACCTGACCTGTCTATCTAGCACATACCCCAACATGGGGTTGGGAGTAGGGGATGTCAGAAAGGGAATAAAGTGAGAGAAAAATCTTTGGCTTTCTTCTTTAACAAACATGAATAGCTTTATTAAGCATTTTAAAATCTATCAGCACCACTTAAAATCAAATTTTATTAAATGTTTATAAATGTTTCGCTTACAGGGGAGGGGGTGCTAAAGCTCTTCTCCTTCCCTGAATAATACTAAATTTTCTCATGAATTATGCATCGTATGTAATACTTTCCAGTAATAAAAACTTTCATTGAGTATTCAATCATAGCCAAGGGGAAAAACAGTTTTGAAAAACTGAGTTGAAAATTGAAATTGTTTTGTAAAAAATTGAAAATGTTTTGTAAACCACAAAAAAATGTAGACACTCAAGTAGAAGAAACTCAACTACTAAGTACTCAAAGACATCGTTTGTTTCTTAAAGGTTGATTTCTTGGGGGCAGATCCAGAAATTTCCAAAATCGGAGCTTGAAAGTGGGGCTGATGTAGTCAACACTACCCTAGGGGGTCTGGGGGCATGTCCCGGCGAAATTTTTGTATTCTAGACGCCAAAAAATAATCTCCGAGGCGTTTTGGGCGATCAATGTTTTTCTTTTTCTTTCTTTCTGTTTTTAATTTTACTTTCAAAAAGGGGGAGTACCCCCCCCCCAAATGCACCCCTGGTAATTAAATATCACAACCCCATGGAAGAACGCCATCTTAGAGGTGAATGAGTTTTAAATGTATATTTTTTTCTTGAATAAATAAAGCTTTTGACTGATAGATTGATAACTGAACAAAAAAATAAGCAATTCAAGATTACCAAGGTTTTGCCGTGTCCATTGGACATGACCTTACAAAAATGCTTTTTCAATGTTCAGAAGCACAACCACAATATTCTAGTATTGTTTATAATGTTACTGTCAAAATTCATTTTTGTAGCATTCAATCCTATATAATATCTATCTATAAAAAAGTGTTCATCAGGTTAACCATGCCGCTCTACCAAGCAAAGGATTGTGAAATCAAATCTCGTAGACTTACCTTAGGGCACTGTCGGTCAGGGCAGGTACTGGCTTAGCACTGTATCTCTGGTTATTAACTTGGTGATAAGGTGGTACCGCTGCACTACCCTGTTGCCTAGGAGGACCAGGAGGCCACCTTCGCCCAAATGAAATGGTATCTAGAAGAGCCTGACGGTCTTGGTTGTAATACCGAGCAGCAGTGTCACTCTCTTGTTTTAACACCTCTGAAAGAAAGAACAAAAAAAACTTGCAGTTCAAAATCATTGATTTTGTGTTCAAATCAATTGACAAGAACAGATTCTAGTAACAGGTTTAAGACAATGTCTGAATACTTGAAGGTGGGATGCTTCAACTCCAATACTTTCACCAGGTACAAAGAAATACAGTTTGAGTATATAAACAAGCCAATAGAAAGTAAATACTTTGTCATGTTCAATTAAATTTTATTGTGCTTCAAATATCAAGGGCCAATATCCGCAAGAATTACAATCACAAAAACACTGTTAAAAATAATAATAAAACCCACCCCCAAACATGATGTATATACAGTATAAGCATAAATAAATTCCAACAGTTTGTGGGCAGGGTTGAAAGGTGGAGGAGGCGAGTAGATGGATTAAAATTCAGTAGTTGAGAATGTTTTTCAGGAAAACGGGAAATCGAAAATAGGTTGAGAAAGAGGGGAGGCAAGGATAAAGACCTTCACAATACCTACTCAATTAAAAGAAAAATAATTATCAGAGAATCATCAAATTAAGTAACTTTGAAGTAAGCTGAAGAAAATAATCTTTGGAGGAAGTGTTAAATTAAAGGAGAGCATTTACTAATTTCTTCGGGTAAGCCAATCTACATTTAAGGAAGGCTCAATATACAAATTTCCCAATGATTTCCGGGGCTTTCTAACCAGTAAAATTATTTTCAATTTTGAAGACCAACTCACCACTTCTGTCAAGAAGCTGCAGGGATGGCACATAATATACCACAAAGAATCGGTATTCTGGCTCCTGGGCAATAGGGTTTCCTGATAGATCTAATGATATAAATAGAAAACAAGGTTAATAACATGAATGGATGGAGCTATTCAGTATAAACACCAAGGATAACCCATGATAGCCTGAAAACTTATATCCGGTGGGGTCCTTCTGGTGGTGATTGGGCAGTACACCAGGAGACAATCCCCTTACTCTTTTCCGAAGAGTGTACTGCGTTCTTTAATGTGCACATAGACGGTGCACAATCTTGCATTAATACCTGCTAAAATACAAGGAGAGCAGCAATGGTAATTGAACCGGGGACCAAGAGATCTCCACAGTTCAGCGAGCACACAGTGGCTACCACCAGCTGCTCTCTTCAAACAGACATGAATATTTTGGAGATGGAAGTGATGGCATACTCCAGTCCTACTGATATTTTTTATTCTGTCCCCAAATTGTTTTTACTGTAGGCCTACATATGGTACAAATTGAAACTCACTTAGGACTCTTAGGTTCTGCATTGCTTTGAATTCCTTTACAGTCTGCTCCAGCTTAGTCAACTGGTTGTTCTGGAGCATGATGGTGTGAAGGCAAGTGAGATGTGCAACCGCTCCACATATATCAACCAGTTCATTGTCCTGTAGGTAGAGCTCTGTCATATGGAAGTTCCTGGTGATACAACCGATATGACGCAAGCGATTTCCGTTCAACCATAAATATTTCAAGTTCTTGAATCGTGATAGTTGCAGATCTCTATCTTTGGTCAACTTCCTGTGATTGAAAAGAAATTGATAATAAGCCTAAAGCATAGTCCACACTATCAAATTGTCTTTGACAAAAAACTGTTGCATAGTCATGATGTCCCTATGGTCATGATGTTATGTCATCATGACCATATTTAGTAACTTCTCATGTTATTGCCAAATAAAGTTATAGTCCAAACAGGGCTTGAGTTTGTAATTGCTTTCAAATTATTTTAACATCTTCACAATAATTTGTTTTTTCTTGGTGTGAACAGGTGATACAATTATTGGGATTTGAGCATTCAAACTTAAGGTTGTAGTTCAATATACCTGGTTAATGTGCATATTGCTCTGTGTTCTTCTGCTCTTTCCAAAACAATGTACATAATAATTACACCAGAATTATTATGTTCCTCTGTCATTCTCCGCCCAAAAGTTCACACGGCCGGGGTACCTTTGGTAGGATAATATGCGACTGACTGTACTGGCATGACAAACTTGAAACATTACCAGGGATGAGGTTTTACATTGTTGTGTCATATTGTGAATTGCCAATTTATTAAAGTCATGTACAATATTTTAATTGGATTGTGGAAGGCAATTTTTTTTTTACTTTTCATAGAAACATTTTATAAATGCAAAATTACAGTATTATGATTAAAAATATAATTTATATAAAATAATTTAACGTTTATCAATAATTATTTACAAGTAATAATAGTATAATTTCTTTAAAAAATTGTAAAATGACAAATAGTACTAACCTATTGGCCATGTACAGCTGGGTGACATCCTGGTCTTTGAGAATACCCTGTGACCGCATCTGCTCCGCGACGATCTGTAAAATTTGATAAGAATATGGTGTTAATGCTTGTTGCCAAATCATCTAGCTAAATGTAGAAGTTGTATCAAACCATGGCATGGTGAATGTAAAAAACAGCTCTTTCAAAGTTATACCCTAAGCAGCAGCTTATATGAAATTAATTCACAAATTAACATACAAGGTTTTAATTTGCATAATGCTCTTTATTCTTACTACAGCTTCAAAATGAATAAATCTTATTCACAAATATTATACAAATGCAATGTATTTTAATAGATCAGTAATAGGCCTACTTAGACTAAAACTTATTTATCATAAAAATATATAATAAAAAAAAAGTTTTTGCAAAAATAATATTTTGTTTTATTATTTTTGACAAATTGAATATTCCACATTTCAATAATCCCTTTTTTAAATAATATAAATATTAATTATTATCATAATCCTAATAGTAATGCAATAAAGAATAGATTATTTATCATGGTAATGAATTAATTGCTTTTTAAATTATTCCTGAATAAATTTAATGAATTTAAATTCATTCATATATTCATAAAATACATAAGAGGGCCTAGACCTAGCTAGGGTAGGCCTAGGCATGAATGAACAGACCATGCCTGCTCCTTTCTAGGCCTATAATTAATAACCAGGCCCAGTTGCCATTCTGACCTGGGGCCCCTAGCCTAGCTACTTAGGCCTACATTGGTTAATGATTATTATATACAGTATTACAAAGTTAATCTGTGACGATGCACTTTACCTGTTCTACCTCCACCATGGTGCTCTAATGGCCGACCTAAAATTCCTCTTTTATATATTACATTGCAAGTTTTTCCAATGAATCAAATCACATTCTCCAAAAACCAATAAATACAGATTGTTTGTTGTCGTCTGCTCTCTTGTTGCTTGACACCACCACACCACACAAAGCAAACAAACAAACGTTAAAGTTAATGTAGAGGGGGCTATTACAATTTTATGTCTTAAAGAGAGAGAGAGAGAGAGAGAGAGAGAGCAAAAATAGGCCCCTTCAACACTCCAACGAATGGGGTTCAAGTCTTTTTTTTTCTCATAAATAACACTAACTTTGGACACAGTTTAATGGATTAATCGTACTTTAATTCAACAGTAACATAATACATTCCGATATTATCAACAAATAACATTATTGCACAGCTTACTGAAAAAAAGTTTCCTCTTTGTATTTCAACTTCAAATGCTGTCATTAAAATCCGAAAAATACTATTTAAAATAAAATTATAACATTAAATTTCAAATTTCTGTTGATATATATTTATTAAGATACATGATGGGTCAATAAGTAATAATAAGTTCTAAGGCAAGACTTTGTTTATACCTTGTTCAGCGAGATTCCGAATAAAAATAAAATCATATTTTTGGCAATAAGCGCACCTGCCACCACAAAAAAAAAAAAATTAAATTTTGAGAAAAAAATAGTTTTTCTTTATTTTTATTACGCCCGCCACTGCGTTGAAATCTCCAAAAAATAAGATTTTATATATACGTATATTTCTTCCTAATTATATCAATTTAAAGCATTTAACCATCCAATTACTACACTGTTTACATTCACCAATAAAATTATATTTTTATTTTCTCCTAGTCTGGATGTCTTTGCATTTGCAAAATTTCTTTTTCTCGACGATCTTTAAAAAAACAAGTTAGCAAAACAAAGTATAAAAAAGTCTCGCCTATGCTTTAAAATGACCAAAAATTATCAAGTACAGTACATAAGAGAGAGAGATGAAATACAATTCATTTTTTGCTGATTTAGATACTACTGTACTTTTTAGAAAAAAAAAAAAATAACGGATCTTTCCGTAGTGCCAATCAAACTAAACAACTGACCAATCAGAAGAGGCCAAGGAATGGGCGTGTCTAACAAGCACACCATGTTTCCCACAAACGCCAGGGACCTTAGCAACAATATCCAAGGGGCGGGGCTTAACGCAAAGGTCCGTCGTTTGAGGTTTTTACTTCCTTGTTCAAATTTTCAATGGAAAGGCATATTCTTACTTACATATACCGAGTAACATAATTTGAAAATTTATTATCCAAGTTCAACAAAGATACTTTTAAATATATAATTATTTAACATTGCATAGCTTGCATTTCTGCCAAATATATTAATTGTTTTCAAATAATATTTATTCATCTTTTAAATAAACTTAACATAACATCTATCATAAGAATATATATATTTTCCTTTAAAATACACAAATTGCTATCTTTGGCATTTATTTAATGACTGGAAAATTAATTAATTAAAAAACAAATTATTACTAAATCACTTTATAAGTCAATCGTGACGTCATCACTGCAACTCCCAATGTTATTTGCCTATCCTCGACAGTGCACAATTTTTTCATATAGTGCACTGTTGGCTTGATCTTTTTTAGGTTTGTGTGCAAAAGATCAATTGAACTTCTTGTACATATTGCAAACCATGATTAATTCTAGGCTACTGTATTAACACCTAGAACTATGATGCACGTCTGTGGAAAGAAAGGACAGACACCCACCCAATCGTCGTTTGTTAACAAGTCGTAATTGAAAAAATGACATTCGTAAAACAAGGTATATTAGAACCCGAAGAAAGTTACTTCAAGTTCTAGACCTCAGGATTTTTTTCCTTGCATTTTTGCGTAATAAATTTCCACTAGTGTATTATACACAACTATTCTAATTGCTTATTAATTTAAGATATAAAATTATTGCATAGCTCGCACTTATGCCAAATACATTAATTAATTGTTTTCAATTTCTATTTATTCACCCTTTAAATAAATTTAATTAAAACATGTATCATCAAAATATATTTTCTATCAGAATATAAACAAATTTCTATTTTAAGCATTGGCTTAATGAATAAAAAAAAATATTATTAGCAAATAAATATTTTTAGTTAATTTCTAAGTTTAATTCATTCAGCCATATTTTAGAGTAACTAAAGTTTAAAAAAAAAAAACATAATTTGTTTTCATTATACATACAAATTTCTGCACTTATTTACATTCTATTTTAATGTTTACTGAAAGGCATTCATAAAGTTTTACAAATGTTTTTTATTTTTTTAAGTCCACATTGGAAATAACTTTAATGAACTATCTTTTAATATAAAAATCACATTTTCTTTGTTATTTTTAAATGAGCATGATTTCTCCTGTTAAAAATAAATTATGTACCAGAATTTTAGTTATGTCTCTTTTTAAATTTAAATAACATAACATACTATTCTTTTTTATATAGTTAAATTATTGGACACATATATATATTAAACTTTTAACATAATGAAATGAAGTTGGTAATATTCCATAGAGGTATATTATACCTCTATGGAATTTATCAACTTCATTTCATAAATAAGAATGCTAAAGCGCTATCTGCAATTTATTTTATGTTCGAAATATGCAGAGCTGTGTGATGTTGTTTTATACTAAAATCAAATTAGAATATTCAGAATGGACATTTTTTTTATTTCAAATTATTTAACATCAAATAAGTAAAGAGCTCCAGAAAGCCTACTGCCATAGTTACTGCCCACTGCCGAAACTACCAACGCTGTGGCATTCTGAAATTAAAAAAAAAAACAAAGAAATGAGAAAATCTTACAACACCAACATTTTGGAGTAATTTCTTTTATAGAATTAATAAAATAGATTCTTAATCTGTTGTTCACCATAATTTTATTTGCTTTCCACACCATATATTCTTGCGTATAAAGCGATACACGTATAAAACGACCCCCGAGTTTGAGAAAAGTTTTGCACAAGTTTTGTATGTTGGGCGTACAAGATGACTCCCCTTGTTTCAGCGTTCAAATAGCTACTTTTTGCCGCTCTTTATGGTCTCAATACTGCATCTAGCTGGCTAAAAACGGAGCCAAATGTAGGGCTTATATAAGACCATTTTATGTGCTTTTCAAACCATGTTTTCTCGCATTTAAATTGCATTCATTCATACAACAGTTGATAGCTTCATTTCAATAGTAAATTTGCATGTGACAAAAAAATCTGCACACAAGATGAAAATGATTTAAAAATCAAAAATTTTGTATGTGTTGTGTGTTGTATTAGACGACCCCCTGTTTTTCGATTGTAATTTGCTATCTTAAGCTTCGTCTTATAAAGATATACGGTATACGTTTCAAAGCTGTGCAAAAAAAAAAAAATGTACACGGTTTCTATTGATACACAAGTTACTGTTAATAAAAGAAAGTTGTCTTCTGCAAAACACAAACCAATGATTCAACATTCCAGCCTTTATTGGGACTTCGTCAGGAAGATGACCCATAGGTCGAAAAAACAAATTATGGATGACCCCATTAAATGTCAAATCGTGACCTCCCAACACGACCAATAAAGGTTGAAACATTGCCTACCTCTCATTATTCAGAGTAATGTTCATTCTATGTTACTTAAACATAATCAGTGCATCTCTTGCTACTTGTATACACTTACATTTATTTTCCAGCTCCCAACACCTTTACCAAAGTGAGAGCCTCTCTGTAAAGTAATCACAGATAACATTAAATGTAATAAATGTATTTGTGAAATAGTTCGTTGTCTACAAAAAAAAGTTAAAAATAGAAAAAATTATTTAACAGTATTAATTAACAGGTATTTAGTTATAACCTTTATAACTAAAAAGTTTCCTATAAATCACTGTCGTTTTGTGGGAACTTAGTAACAAGGTAGAGTCCCAGGTTGAAAGAAAATCGCAGGAGTCTACCAGAAAATTAGACCCTTGACAAGGTGCGGAGCTTAGCTAACATTCCAGTCCAATTTTCCGAGCACAGTTTTCTTTTATTTAAAGGACTTGGATAAAACCCCCATCATATCTGCTATTAAATATCAGTTAAATCTAATTATTTAAGTATCAATGAAATGAAACTCACCTCATCTTTTGTAAATTTTCTGAATGCCTGAAAAAAAAATTCAAATTGTTAATCAGATGCTTGTTTCAGCAATTGAGTTTATAGACTGTGTATCTACTTGTAAAGATTATTGTTTACTATTTCTTGTGGAATAAGCCAATTTCAGTACTTTGTAGTCATAAAAGTTTGAGAAAAATCTGAAAAATTACAGACCATCACAATGTATAACTTAAATAAGAGGGCCTCTGAAAGGCTGGAGCTAGAAACGTCACCCTTTAAGGTCACCACTCTACAAATATGGTTCCAGTGCTATAAAATAATACTATAAAAATAAAGGCAGAACATTACAGAGTAATAAACCTGACAGAATGAGAAGCTAGTGTGACTGTAAAGGTTGCTTACTTTTTCTCCTAGGCAAGGTTCCACCATCCTCCCTAGGAATGAACACTGCATTGTTACATCACCTTTGCCAAGTGCCTCTCCCCCTTTGAATATGTACACAAAACCAGTGTCTCCTATAACGATGAAAAAAACAGAAGAAAAACTGTAATTCTCAAAGAAATCTAGGAATCAAATAAGTTTATGATTAAGGAATATCATATCATATATCATATATTTTGTAGGGGTTGGGAAGGTCGTACGACCCCCCCAAAAAAATGTTTCAAAGGTCCACATTTTTTCCAGACATTTTTTTCTAGGGCCTTTTTACAATGACATAAATGAAAAAGAATTGATGAGGTACCAGCGATGAGTCCAAAGACCTTGCCAATTGCGTGATGTAATCTATCTCAATTCCAGCAATTTTAATTTTCATTTTAATCGCATTTTGCTGTTATTTCATTGTGAAAAGGTCCAAAAAATTATGATCACAACCCACCCAGAAAAAAATTTGGTACCTTATCTGCATTGCTTCCCTCCACCCAGGAGTATAAGTGGGTACCTAAGGAGGTTCAAGTGCAAAATGCGCTGATATATTTCATGCATCAAACTATGGAATTTCCCCCATAGGCATCGTTCCAATGACCGGGGTAATAATGTGGAAAAGTGCTCTGAAACTTAATTGTAAAGAGTGCTATATAAAAACCTACATATAATAATAATATTAAATATATTATTATTATTATTATTATTATTATTATTGTTGTTACTAAAACCTACTTTAAGGGGAACTTGTACAAATGGAGAAATTAGAGAACAATTAAAAAACAATGTTAAGGGGAAAATAACACAAAAGATATTCCCCTTAAGTCCGATTTAGAAAAATTATTATTATTATTATTATTATTATTATTATTATTAATTATTATTATTATTATTATTACATAAGCACCTCATATAAATTTCCATGATGAGTGAAGAAATGGGGTAAATAATCAATGTCATGTGATAGGAAATCCACCAATCAATTTACAAGGATATATTTAAAAAAGTTATAACAAATTTTAATCAAGGACTTTTAACTGTATTACCCCCATAAAGCTCTTCTGTAATGTCATCAATTCTGAATGGAGCAGAAACAATCAAATCATCTAAAAAGAAAAAGTAGATAGATTAACTGAAAATCATAGAAATTGAACCTGAAATAATAAGAGAATATTCAGAGTTTCTGCAAATTTCATGTCTAAAGCACTCTCCTTAACACTGCAAGGCACTGCAAAGAGTTGAAAGGTCATGTTAACTTGACTCTATAATCTGGTTACTTCAGGTGCAAATACATTCCAAATGGGGGCTTGCAATCTCACTTGGAACACAACTCACTAACAGTACCAGCAAACCCATTATGAGTGAATACTAATTTGAGCAAAATTATAAGTTTAAGTAGATACCCCTTTGAGTGGAAATAGTGTATATTCACTTTTGTAGAAACAGCTAAACTAACAATAATAAAGTACAGTTGATAAGATTCAGCTTTTTAGGCAATCCATCAGGCATGTACTTTGCTTGATTATGTGTCAGGTTTCTGGAAAAATTTCTTTGAATTTGTCTTGTCTGATTTCTGATTGTCTAAAAATTGTCTAATAAATAAAAATAACAGATGTTTTTATACCTTGTTTTGCTAACTTATGTTTTAAAGATTGTCAGAGGAGAGCAGTTTGTGCTCTTGTGATTGTGCAGTTTTGGAAAAATCATCCACAAGAAGAAAATAAAATAAAATTTTATTATTGGTCAAATGCTTTAAATTTATATAATTAAGAAAAAATAATATACATATCTTATTTTTGGAGATTTCAAGGCAGCAGCCGGCATAGTAAAAATATAGAAAACCTTTAATTTTTTTCTGAAATTTCCAGTTTTTCGAAGCGGCGGATATACTAATTGGCCAAAAAAAAAAATTTATTTCTATTTGAAATTGTCTATGTTGGCAGGCGACAGGTTCACAAAACAAGATTTATCATCTGTTTTTGTTGTCTACATATCAGAAATATGTACGATACCTATTTTATCTCCAGTGACATCATTCAGCTTTGCGCTCATGCCAAAGCGTGCATATGATCTGTCACCTTTGAATACTGCCACCTCCGGAATGGATGTCTTATTACACGAAACAGTAGAGGGTGCCCAATTTGTCAAGTTCAACAACCGTAGATAGCCTGCTTGATTAAAATTTGAGGATATGCCAAAAATCTTGCCTGCCACCTCTGTAAAACAATAATATACCTTATCATTATTATTATTAGAATAATTAATGATTTTATTAATCATTTATTTTTAATGATTATTTTTTTATGAGTTTTATTCTTTTTTTTTAAATAATTTTTTTTATTATAATAATTATTAATAAAATTGTTTAAGGTCTTACTTCCAGTATCAACTCCTAGAGCCAAGATATCACTTCCATCGTTGTAAGGGTCACCAAGTGCTATAGAAGCCCCGAGCTTGTCAAAGGAATGACCACCATGCAGACACAACACAGGCTGTCCTAAGTTCCTCACATCGTAGCCAAGAATGCGACCAACGCTCTGCGTATCATTATCAGAATGAGGGCAGCCTTCACTGTTAGAGAAACCAAATTCATGTACATTGTGTGATTATCTTAAAAGACTCATCGTTGTGTGATCACTATTAAAATATCATCATCAAAAACCTCAATTGAAGAATACGTATAATATATAAAATAGAATATTGTGTAATCAATCAATCAATCACTTTATTTCATTTGCATCAACCATTACAGTACTGAAAAACACGCCATCGTGTTGGGATTCAATATTTCAACATTAATTATGGAATTACATCAGGAATTACAATACACCGTACAATTTCTAACAACGCAAATACAGAAGTTCCAGTAAGTTTAGCCTGTACAGTATAGAGTATTGTTCTATCTTAAATACAACTCATTTAATTATATATTTTAAATTAATTAATTTATACTACATGGCACTAAATTAGGTTAGAGGATGATATTTTTCCTACAAAGAATCCTTAAGAAAACGTTTAAATATTCCAAGGCTTGAAGACTAATTAATTAATTTGATTTGGAAGGTCAAGCCAATATTTAGGACCAATAAAAAAAAGTAGCTTTCTTGGACAGGTCAAGCCAATATTTTGGACAAATAAAAAAACTGTTTTCTAGGACAGAGTTAATCTGTAGAGGGGGCGATCAAAAGATGAAGCTGGACAAGTTGAATATGAGTGGTAATTGTTGTTCAATGAAAAGGGTGTGTTTAGAAGTGTAGATATCCTCTCAGTTTTAACTAAACTGAAAGTGAATAAATTGAATTGAATCATAAGTAATAGCGAAAAGGCTTAACAGTAGAAGCTACAGTATTAAGCTATGAAGAAATCAATCAATCAATCAATCAATCATAGCAGATACAAAAATTGCTATACATTACTTTATTATTTTCTTAATTACTTTTATTAATTTTAACTACACACTGAATGCAAAATTAACAATGAAGAACCCCGACCCCAAAGTTGAGAAGATAAACTGCAACCGCCGCACCAACGGCAAGTTCATCTTAGGGGGTTCAATCTCTTATTGTTAAATTTTCCATATACAGTTGTCTCTCTATAATCCCGGAGTACAATGGGTTCCTCGCAGGCACCCATTCTCCGCGAGGAGCAGATGATATGGTCTTGTGCTTGATCCCATGAGCAGCGTAATATTGTGAAACACTTAGAGGCCTTCTTGGAACAGAGTGCTATACAGTTACTTACACAGAACAGATTCTATACGTAGGTTGTGACACCAGCAACAAAGTAGTTCCTTTCTTAATCTTTTTCATTTCAATTCTGTGGCCAAACCAACCATAATCCTAGAGATACAAAAACAGACGATATATGAATGATACCAAGGGGCAACGATTTTTACCTACTTTTAAAATTCAAAATATTCTAAAAATGAATTACCTGGTCTCCAGTAAGTGTAACATCCATCTCAATAACTGACAGGATTTGACGACCTAAAAGAAGTTTGCAAATATGTATAATCTAAATCTCTCTTCAGAAATAAGTGAACAAAGTATGATTTAAACACAAATTTCAAATAATTAAACATTTTTGTAAAACATAACAAATGAGTCTTTCCATTCTAAATTCAGCATCAGTGACTAAAACAAGAAAATTGTCTTTTTAACATATTCCTGCTCTTCAAATTATAAGCTTTAAAATGATAGGTCGTTTACTGGTATCGACTTATTATTGCTAAAGTTATGAGTAAAATTATTACGGCTTTTCTGTACCTTGATATTTGCGGTTGGCATACATCACATTCACCATGCCTCGTTGATGACCTCCAGCTGCAGTGAATGGTGACCCGATGATGAGGTCAGCATGCCCATCTCTGTTTACATCTCCTACTGATAATGTCAAACCCAAGTTGTAATAATCATTTTCAATATCCTAAAATAAATAAAGTTCTGTGTTTATTCCACCATTTAAAAACATGACTCTTCATTCTTGTACTGCATCACTCCTTACATAAACCACTTTAAACCACATTAGTATAACTGATGTACAAAATTGTTGTAAATAAAAAAATGTTAACAAAATTTAAAATATTTAATTGTAAACCGGCTCTTGCAAAACCCAATTTCCCACAAGCATCCGAAACGTTAAGAATCAGAATTTGGAACATTTCCATGTTCTTACATTTTATAAAAGAATTTATACAAAAACATTCCCGCAAAAAATATCGATCACTAAATCTAACTGAAAAGTATATCAGAATTCGAATTGTGCTTGGTTTATTTTGATTAAACAGTTCTATATTAAAATTATATTTAAAATACAAATTTCTATAAGAAACTATTGATTTTGGAATCTCTGGAAGATTTTCTTCTAAAAACCTACATGGCTGATATCCAATGAATTAAATATTCATTACTTTGCTCATACTCAACCAACTTCCATCAATCAATGACTGTATTAAAGAAGGATTTGTGCAGAACACTAAAAACCCAATTTTGAATTTTTCCCTACAAATGGCTGGATTTTTTTGGCCAGAGTTGGTCACAATTTTTTTAATATTAATAATAAATTATGTTTCTACACCTACAACATTTCTTTTTACAATGTACCCTGACTGCATCTTCTCTAAAGGGCCCAATCTTATCCTATATTTGTAGGTACCTGGTTGCCTGTGGCAGGGCAAATGTGTAACCTGTTACTTCGCTTGAGTCATTTAGGGAGGGGTCTGAAAAAGCGATAGAGTAGTGGCGGATAGTGACCAATGTTGAATTTGCATTTGCGTCCTGGAGTGCCTGGACTTTTAAACATTCTTTTATGTTATGCGAATCACACAGACGTTTTAGGGTTATGCACTATGTAAGTGTAACTATATTATTACTATTATATTATCACCTGAAATAAATCACTAAATTTTAATCTTCTGATTAACATAATTATTTACATTGCTTCACTTACCTGTCCCTTGATGGTGATATTTGGAAGGGGACCAAACACATTGCTTTTGCTTCCCAGAAAAATATAAACTTCTCCCTATAGAAAATATAAAAAATGATATGCTATATAATGTACAGTATATAACACAATTTATTATCATTTTTCATATCACTGATGACGATCCTAATGTCCACCACTTGGCCTCATATCTCACTTGGTAGAGTATCCAAACGATAGTCTAGTCTTAAGTTAGTGTCCCGATTGGCACATCCGTTTTTATTATCCTCTTTATATTAACACCATGGAAGTGTTTCTCAATGCAGTTACAAACAGAAACATGTGATTACATAACAACTTGTAACTCCTTTTGTAAAGAATTATATTATTATCTATTTATTATTACTACATAAACTATATTGTCATTCTTCTTATTGATTTCACCAATATTACCATTTAATAATATCATTTTAAATTATAATAAACATAATAACACTTAGTGTAATAAGTAATGGGACTTACATAGTAGGTGAGTGATGTTGACCCAACAGAGGGCGCACTTACAACTAAATCAGAAATGCCATCCAGATTGACGTCCAGTACAGCAAGCGCTGAACCGAAGCGACCATTTTTCTATAAAGAAGGCAGCAAAAAGGTAAATGTGTATACCAATCAAAGCCATTCTTTATTAAATCTGACATTAAGATGTAGTATTATAGAATATAAATGGGAATATATTACGGGACACTTCACAAAAGGGTTCTTCTTTGATCCCCCTCCCCCCTTCGTTTATTCTTAAATTTTATTCCATTTTTAATTTCTTCTACCATTTTCTTGTCTCCTTGTGTTTCTCCTTCCTGATTTATCTCTATGGATTTCTTTCCACTTTAATTAATATGCACTTTGTCTATTATTCTGATTGTTCCTTTTTTCCTGCTTTTCTAACTTGTTTTTTTTTTCCTTGTCATTCACTTTTCTCAATTTTTACTTAGAACGTTTTGATATCTTGTCATTTTTTGTATGCAGTGTAAGATTTTCTAATTTTTGACTTACTAAGCTTCTTGTTGAAGTTCATGTTATGTGGTTTTGCATGTATTTAAACTTATACATTCTTTGCATTGATGTAATGAGCAAAAATTAAAAACACAGACAAAAAAAAACAACCAAAAAATCAACACACAAACAAATCACATCAACCTCTTTTTAAAAATGCACTACCTGTAGGCCAGTGAGTTGTATGGCAGCTGACAGATCTAGGTCGATTTCACCCTGTGGTAATCCCTTCGCCTTAGACCCATAGATTATGTATACACGGCCTAGCTGGATGTCGTTAGTGATACTATATCCAGGTGCTCCAACTATGAGATCCGTGACATTATCTCCATTGATGTCTTCTGTTAAAAAACACCTACAAAAGGAGGATATTACCAGTTAAGGATTTATTTTTTTTTTCTTGTGGAAATCACCAATCAATTAATCAATCAATTGAATAAGCAAACTTATTCAGTGCTTTCTTAATCTTATAATAATATATAACATTTTTATAGAGCAAGAGACAATTAGTTTCGAAGTGCTTGGAAGTCTAAGTTCAGTAAACAAATCAAAAGCAAAGAGTTGTTTTCTCATAGCTACAAATACACAATAATCAAATTAAATTTTTTAGTATAATGAGCTTACGCAGACATACTCTATGCTGTATAAGCAGAATTTTTCTATAAAATTGAATGTGTTTAGCTTCATATCAGTTCATGCTGTGGTATGGTGTTTTGACTGATATGACCAGTGGCAGATAGCACCTTGTCCGTTAATGGACTAGCTATGTTCAGAGTTGTGCTGCATAGAGTTGGATTGCAGAGAACACTATTACGTGATCTCATACAACGGAATAATGCGCTATGCATGTTATATTCTCAGAGGCAGTGAGGGAACCTAGCTAACACACTTCTAGAAGGGACAATCGAGGGCTCGAGAGCTAGAGAAAGACACGAGAATTAAATGGAGTGATACATCAAGAGATGGAGCTCAGCAACTTCTTACATGGAGGCAAAGAGAGCAGCAGAAAATCGTCTTAGATGGAGAGACATGGTAGCCAACCTTCGTATCGAAATGGCATATGACGATGATGTTTAGAGTAATTTTGACCTAGTTTCTGCAGTATACTTCAGCTCAGGACCCTATTTTTTACTTGAAATATTCAACTAGAACTGCAAAATGAACTTGTTGAAATATAATAAAAAAAAACTAATGGAACTAAAACACAGACTGTCTCTGATAACCTAAAAAGTAAAAGACAATTTATTATTTATTTTGCGCTATAAACTTTATCAAGGCCCAGTTTGCCTTCCAATTTGAGACAACCTTTGGGATCTCAAAAGGTGGGACGGTGTTGAATTTCAGTCTCCACATAGAGGGTTAGCTTAGTGTTAGTAGATTAAAGACTGTTAATTGATTCTTTAAAAAAAATGGTCTCGAATTAGAGGATCTCGGAATAAAGGGGTGTTAAAATGGAAGGGCGCACTGTATTAGCTTTTGATTTAATATTAGAATCTGAAAAATTACTTAACACTAACAAATGCATAATAAAAGTGTCCTGCATTTTTTATGACGACAAAATTGGTTGGTAAACAATTTAATAATTTTTATATTAGAAATATGCCATTAAACAACCAGAGTGTTGACTAGGTGACGAAGCGATGCAGAGTATGTGCGCCATTGAAGATGGCCGATGTAGATAAGCGCCACCTTCAGGCTTAGAATACATATTACAATTATAAATAAGACTGCTGACTGTCATTTCATTAATCATTATTATTAATTATATTAATAAACTTTCAAACTAACCTAACCAAAAGGAGGACAAGTAGAGTATCTGATTTAAAATAAAGGACTGAGGAACAAAAATCAAAATCGTGTACACTACACCACATTACCGCAATGCACAAACTTCAAAATACTGGTAACTATTAAGCTGTAATCAAAACTTTCAAGTGTAAATTGAGGGCGCCAGTGAAAACAATGCTTAGGCATATTTTAATTGGCTGAATCTACGACAGCCATCAGCTCTACATGTTTAAAACATTGAACGCATTGGAGTTAGCGCTCTAGTATATTCTTATTATAACTCTATGGAAATATGTAAATAAGCAAAAATTATTAATATTCTTTTATTATTTATTGTTTTGATTTGTTTCATTTGAAATTGATAAATTAATTGTTTTGCTGATTTTTACTATATATTCATTGATACATATTTACATAATTCCTTACCATCCTAGTTTTGCATAATCATTTTTCACATAAAATGTTGTAACTGGCTGCTGGGAACTTGATGACTTCCGCATGGATTTTTGAGCTTTTATGTAGTCTGCCTTCTGTAGAAGGTTAAACTTTCTCTGAGAATGTAAAAACACTGACATTGAATAACAATCTACTTCACTTTACTGCTTTAAATGCTTTTAAATTATGATAAAAATAAAAATATGTAAATAAATGAGGATATCTTGTAGATTTAGTATGTCAGCAGGTAAATAATTAAAGGAATAGCTGATGAATTGTTCAAATAGACACACTCTGCTAGGTTGGTCATGTGATGTAGTGGGTATCAATTGTATAAATGCAGTGCGACTGACGCTCAGTAATAGGAAAACGTGTGGTTTCTTCGTAATGTTGGTGCTATGAAGCACATATCTGATGTTGAATAATGTTGGTTGGAATGCCGGAAACTATACCAAATTGATAGGAAATTGAGATTGAGGGTTTTTCCATAATGGCTTGCTAATGTTCCAAAAGATACTGGCCCCAAACAGAGATTTTTTGAGACACGCTAGGCCTAGACCCCTGCATATCTACGGCCTATTTAGGTATGCACAAAAGCCTTCAAATCCGCAAACTTCTATTTTGACACGCCACGAATTCTAGGTTGCTAAGGTTTACGAATGATCCCATAAATTCCAAAGCACACTGAATGCTAGAATAATCGTAGTGCCTTACTTGTCAGTTAATCCTCACGTTAATGGTGGGCAAATGTTTTCAAAACCATAACATTACCCTTTCCTATACTTTAACACTGATCGCACTGTAAACTCTTCATAGTAATACCCACTACGTGTCACATGACCCGCTTAAAACAAACCTCGCGGAATGTGTCTATTAAAAGAACAACTGATGAATTGTTCAAATTGTAAGATCCAAATGACAAAGATGGATGGAGAAACAACAGAATGGACAAAATGAGGCAGCAATTCAAACTTAGGTTCGATACCCAAAATTGGGTCAGCAAAGAAAAACTAGAGGGTCGCGTGATTTAAAAGAATTACATCATGCTAAATGCTAGTAGCGTGCGCATAAAGCTTTTAACTTTAGTTTTGTTTTACAAGTAGAAAAATGACCCATTTTGAGTAGAGTATCTGTTAATTTCCCAGGAATTGGGCCACACAGATTGCCTACAGATTTGATGATTTTTATGATGATGATGATGATGATGATATTGATTATAAGGATGATGATGATGGTGATTATGATGATGATACTGAAGGTTGGTGATGAACTCAACTCAACTGACCTTTAGCTTAGATGAAGCACCAATGTAAACTCCTCTGTCAGTTCTTCGATAATTTACATCTTCCAATGACAAATCATTCAAATACAGTTTGGAGTGGAGAGCAGTCATCTTGGTATCAGACAATTTCTTGTTGATATCGACTTGATTAGGACAATTAATAAACAAAGTACTGTGTGGAATTTGGCAACTTCTACAATATTAAACATGAAATAATAAACTTTTAGTTTGTTCATGTATATATTTTTCATTATAACCATGTACATTTAAAATGAATTGTTGGCAAGTTTTAAGATTTTAAAAATGTTAATTTTAAAAATCACATTTTTAATGATGTTTATATTTTTCTTTTTTTTATACTTTGACTGATTTAACCCTTACGCTGCCATCTTCACATAAATGCAAACACCGCACAGTTGGTGTGCATGCCAGTTTCGCTAGATGCAATCAGGCTCATTGTCAGCCGTACGCCACCTTCGTATAAATGCGAATTGGTGAAGGTATTCCAAAAAACCGACCATAGAGCGGCTGTTTTAACACCACCCCAAATAGTGTTTACTGCATATGAAAGCTAATGAATTTCTGCACATTTTGATGTGAAACTTGCTGGGTGTTGTTTTGTTAGAAGTTTGAGTTTTTGCAAGTTGAAAATATGATGTTTTGAAATGCTGAGAAACTTTATTCTTCTGTAGTTGTTACAGCTGTGCTGGATAAGGAGACTTAGAAACTCACACAGAAAATGATGTTCTGGTCCTAGGCCTAGCTAGGCAGACCTAGCCTAGGCCTAGCTAGGCCTGGACTGTGATGGTAATGTTAGTAAATATACGTAGGCCTAGAATTCGTTATTTTGATTTTCATCAGCAAGTAATTTGACTTTGAAAACACATACAGTACTCTGCTAATAAGCCTAGGCCCAATATACTATTTGTGATAGGCCTTGACAAAATATTCCTATCATTTATTCACTAAATGATAAATAAAATATATGTACAAAACAACTAATGCTGATTAATTGTTTTTAGATTAATATTTTCATAATCTCAATAGTTTATGAATTATTGAGCAAATAATATACACTATCAAAAATAAGTATTACGGTAACCTTGTTAAATAATTAGCTGGCACAGGGGATTAGAGGTAATTTTATCAGTTGGCGCTCTGGTTGACTGAATAAGAAAGAGCTGGCAACGTACGGGTTAATGTAAAATCTGTAAATATGATGTCTATTTACAGTCCAAAATCTCCTGGCTTCTGTCCCTCATTGGGGAAAAAACCCCCAAAAAACAGCAATAATTCAGACTAGCTCTAATTCAATTTTAATCATTTTAATGTAACTTGTCACTTGAACACAAAAAAAAAATAAATAAAATCAGTGAAACAGTGATCCAGCATAATGAATGTAAATTATAATAATTGTTTTAATAATTAAATTTGCTGTATATCTTCATTTAAATTTGAAATTATAAACTTTTTGTAAAATCAATCAATATTAAATTAGTTAAATTAATTTCCTTTGTTTCTTGTTATATGTATTGAGGGTTCCTAATGATCAGCTATGGCTGGATGGAAAAAAGAAATAAAATGATTTTACAGTTTTGCAAGTTCCTTGTTTATTTTTGTGTTTTTTTTTCTATTCCATACCTATTAAAATATCTTGTATTATCCAATCTGATATATGATTGTAATAATGAGAATTATGTTGATGAAATAACCAGCATATGGCTATGCAAGACACTGATGTCCTTGGCCTATGTGCCAAATAATACAAATCCAATCATATTGTTATTTTTTATTTATTATGTTTATTTGTAGCAAAGTCTGTAACTTACTCTGTGCCGTTCTGAAGCATGAAAAGTGATGCACGCCAAATGTTAGTGGTCCAGACGGCCATGTCGTCAACACCACCCAGGAAATAGTCTTGGAATTCTTCAATCAGGTATGGAGATTTGGAAGCATAGCTTGGATACAGCTGAACACAATAAGAAAAAAAAAAATTACAAACATCAAATATGTATAAACATAGTTATTATTAAGTAAAAGAAACATAGTAATTTATTTATTTGGATATGCACCTTCAGATCAGTGACATACGTTTACAGTGAATGGTGCATCCTTATAATCAACAATACTAAAAAGCAAGAGAACATAAAGCTATGAAGTCTACCTACAAACTAAAACAAAGAAGCACATCAAGAATTCTAATTTCACACCTAGTCTACAAAAGGTTAGTTTACATAAAGAATGGTAAACGGTAAAGAGTTGTCTATATAAATTATTTCCAGGCTTCAGAATAGAAAATTTTTTTTAATATGATTTTTCCACAAAAAAAGGGTGATCGACAAAAAACTTGGAAACGGGTAATGAGATTTTGAATATTTTAAAAGAAAAAGGTTGAAAAATTATGGTTACACTCCTTCCCCCAAGTTTTTAAATATTCAAATATCTGTATCTCATTGTACAACATTTCAAACATTTTTTTACCCTCAAGAGCATGGCTTCAACATTATAATTACTACTCACCTTTGCAACAGCAAGCTTTTCTCCAAGTCTAAGAACAAAAAGAAAAAATTATTTATTGAAAAAAAAAAAAAAATTGGTATTTGTTAAAATTAGTTTAGAAAATCACATTGTCTATTTCAGGGTTCAAAGCCCAGACCTAGACCTATAACCAAGGGGTTTCTGTGGTTCAGCCAAATCCTCTTTAAGAGCAAACCACCCTGATGAACACAGCCACCTCTGTCTTTGCATCATAAGCCATAATAACATGATGATGAAATTCACCATTGACATGCTATAATGCTTAAACCTTACGGGGCTCATTCCCCAGACTCCACAAATGGTCTTCACTTGAACTCTGTCTCTAATAAAAAAAACTCTCTGAAGGAATCCTGGTGACATAGTCAGATCCCTGCCATTTTGTTGCTCTACCAATTGCACTATGAGGCCAAACTGACTTTCCTCCCTTTAATTTTCCCATTGGCCACATGGAGCCTGATGGCAATTCCTTTGCGGTCCACGACAACTCTAGAGTCGTGTCTGCCTACCATCTTTGGCTAAATATCCTCTTGCTTTTAAAGCAGAGCATGCCAGTTTCTGGAAATGTCAAAGTTCATGTGTGGCACTAAAGTATTAAATCAAAAATTCACTTTGGCCCTCCGACCCATTTTTATGCCCACCTCTGCAAAAGGTATTTTTTGAAATCCACAATAATCAACTTGGTCATCAAATACTCTCATAATATTTGATGATATTATAGTTCTGTCCACATAAATACAAAATAATTCCAGTTCAGTTTTAAAATAGGCCAATATACTGCAATACCTGTAGGGTTTTTTTTAACCAAATAAATAACACGTTAAAATAACATTACAATATCCTAAAAGGATATTTTAGGAACTAACCTTCCCAGGAACATGAGGGCACTACACTCCTCAATCAGGGTGGCATTCACCATATGGGCTTCGTAGTACTCCTGGTATATAGCTACAAGGTCTTGCACTGGTATATACCTGATGTAAACACAAAAAAAAACCAAAATATATATCATATCAAATACGCTATAAATAATAAGCAACTAGAAATAGATGTGTAATATTATTAACACATCTGTTTGTTTCTTCTTAACTGTATTGCACATAACTGTTCAATTTCCAATCCAGTGAGGTTTATTAGCTTTAATAATGAAAATAGGAGGCGCCTGAGTTTGAGATGGCAGAGGCCCAACAGGTGCTGACCAGGGTTCACTTAGATCAATCCCTGGTTTGCGATGAAGGCCGTATCCCCATACTGCAGTTTGGGTGCTTCCATCATCATTTTTTTTATTCTTTCATATTTCCAAACACCTCTACACTTGTTTTTACAGTTTTACAGGCTTTTTTGTATTTTACGCTTTATAAATTTTAACCATTAACCATTAAGTTCTATTATTATGAATGTTTGTAGTGATTAAGTATAACATTGTTTAACTTAGAACAGACATGAAAGACACACATATACAGTATGTCTGTCTCACAAAATAAAGTTTGACAGACAAATCTGATGTCTGAGTGTTAGTACTAACCATTCAGAAATCTCTCCTATGAAACGAGTATCAAATTCAAACAGAGTAACAACATCACCTCCTGGCAACAAAAAATTATTAAATAATAATATTAAATGACATAAATGTATATATTTGGGATATTTATTGCACATTCAAAACACTAAAAAAAATCGTACAATAGTAGTCAAACAAAAGATTGACTGAAAAAGTCATATTTACAGTACAAGAAAATTACAGAATTACAAAATTAATCTACTTACCTAAAAATTTCCAAAATACATTTAAAATAAAATTCATAGTCACACAATTTTAATTATGGTAAATAATTCATTAAAATTATTATTACATGTATTGTTTTATTATTATTTATATTTACAAGAAACATAATGAAATAATGATATGAATCCTGTATGATGATCAGGGGTAGATCCAGAGATGCCCAAAAGGGCCCCCGATCAATATACAACACTACCCTATAAGGTCTGGCATGCCCTCAGGAATTTTTTTTCTAGGTACCAGCCTCCCCCCTCCCATTAAATCCACCCCTGATGATGAGTATTACACATAGTGACATTTTCTTTCAAAGATCAGTTGCTTCCGTGACTAGGGGCCGTAGGTATAATTTGAACAAGAAATATGCTCGTCTAAATTGCCGTAAGCACTTTTTTACTCAAAGAGTTGTTAATGCTTAAAACGCTCTCCCCGCCAGCACAATTGAAGCTGACTCTATAAACCATTTTAAGTCAAAGTTTAAGAAGTCAAGAGGGGGTAATAGAGGACCACCTCAGGCCTACCAGCCTCTTTCACCACTCATTGAGAGTGGTGTACGGTGATTACTTGTTAAGTATTGATTGATTTATTGGTTCATCTATTTCTAGATAGACCTACCGTACATTATCAAATTCTTGTCACTCCTACTGTAAAGATATATATTTTTCCAAAGAATGGGAAATACTGATTACGTGGCCTTGGCCCCAGATTAACATTAAGGCCCGCGTTATATCCATCTCATGCAGAATCATTAATAGGGTGACCTGCTAGGTCACACCAAAAAGGGATGTTTGTTGTTTGAACATATTGCATTGTAGTCCACAACTTTGCATGATGGGTACTGAAATTTGGAAATAACTTTTAAAAACTGTTGAACATAATTACCAAAATGATAAATGCAATATAATTAACTAGCCAATATCAATGATGATAATGACTGGAAGAATAGACAATACATTTTATAAAAAAGTGGGAAGTATGCTGAAAAATGATGAAAAATACCATATAAAATACCAAACAAAATTAAATAATTTAAAAAGAATGATAATAATTGTGTTATGCTGTCTACCTTCATCACCAACGTCATGAGCTGCTGGAAACGACCCGAAAAAGTTTATCTAAGAAACAGTGTGAAGAACACAAGAATTGTATGTTTTTTATATAATTCCTTTTGCAAATTAGAGAAACTATTTTTGACAAAATTCTCAAAAAAGCGAATATATCTAAACAATTAATTTTCTAACGCTTACCTGCCCCATGGTTGCTAAGAAACCTTGATCGATTCCGAGACTGTGCCAGGAAATATCCGCAACCTGATGCGAGACAAATCCCAACATAAACACAACCAACTTTTGTGTTTCCTAATTGAAATAAGGAAATTCTAAATATAAAATTGATCATAAGAAAACGAATTACACCAAATATACGTCCAACAGATTAACATATAAAAAATTAATAAAAAATATGCATACCTTACTTGCTTCTATTCTTATTCAATAGGGATTCATTGACATTGAATTTTTTCAGTCATCAGCAGTGGTGGCGGTACCGGGGGGAAGGGTGGGCATTTGCTCCACCCAGCCCGAAAGGCCTGGACCCCCTTGTTGCCTGACACACGACTAGGTCGTTGGATCAAAAATGAAAAAAATAATTTGCCTATCTAAATAACGTTATTTTGACTACCAATCCAATGAGCAGTTCAAAGTCCACCATAGGGTCCCCAAAGTCTCCCACAAGAGGTCGAAGATCTCTCACAAGGGTCACCCTCCTCCAACCATACCCATAGTTAGATCAATAGGTACTACAGATGCCTGGAAATGGCACTCTCAGACTGTAAATTTGCTTCTCCCTCCCAGGGTTTATCAACATTCCCTCCCCCTCCCCAGCCTTGGACCCCTGCTGTCCTGCAGGACAATGAGTTTAAAAGGCGGGCTTATTTTAGAGAAACTACGGTACTATTGCCATTAAAAACCTTACCTCATCCCATGGTTGGGGATACGTTTTTCTAATGTAATTGATTGTGACATTCAGAAATGGTGCCCAGTGTGAGTCTTCAGATATACCATGGAATTTTCCTAGAAAAAAATATATTATTATAATTACCATATTAGTATAAATAGTGGAGGCAACGAGTTTGGTCCTAAACAAAAACTGCATTAAAATCTCTATATATTTTAATATATTTATTGAATAAATGGAATATATTTAGTTGGGTCTGCCAAAAACATAATAATTATACATTATGTCTGAATGATTTCTTCCAAGTGTTTTAGAGTGGATTTGTTACTGATTCATTACAAAACCATATCTCGGTGGCCATACATCAATCCCTGTGCTCGTATTTTAATACCCTAATATCCATTTAATTACAAAAATTTCAATGTTCACCAAACCCATTTGTATTAAATATGGAGCACTGTATACACAAAATATCAACTTTTGATGTTACTGTATATTATATTATTTTGATGTCTGTAGTCTGTAAAAAACTGCACTAAAACCATTAAAAAAAAGGAGAAATATAGACTGTTTCTCATAGGAGATTATCATTTTCTCGACGAATTCTTTATTAATAGGTAAATTCAGAGGTTGTAAATCGTATCCGCTGTATTGTGTATACAATACTTTATACAGTCAATAAAGTGCGCCCTCTCTAATGAGATTAGTTTTTGTACTTCACATCTCACACACTGCGTTTGATCAAGTAGGCCTGAGATATGTTTGTTTAATTGTCAAAATCTCGTCAGAATCATTTTTTTAACAAACTTGAAATAATTTCAATGAAATATTACATTTCACAAGTGTTAATACTAGCCACAGAATATATCATGTCAGCCGTTTTCATGTCAGATAAAACAGAACCTAAATCAAGGTAAGGCTAGGCCTAGCCTAGAAGTGTTGATAGGCTAATGTTTCAGGTATCTACTATATTTCTTCGCAGACCTATCGCAAAATCAAACATAAAAAATTCATCCGCATTTATTTTTTGTGGGACACAAAAAAAAAAAAATAAATTTCAGCCTTATTTTACATTTTTTTCATGTTCAGGAATGTCTAAATTCAGTTAAACTAGCAATTCTGTATTACATTTGTAAATCTTTATAAAATATATAAAAATCATATGTTTCTTTAAACAAATGAAATTTTGCAGGGAATGGGGCATTAAAGTCTGGCTCTTAACAGAGGGGGTCCCAAGCTGGAACAATCCACATCCGGGAGATCTGTTTACATGAGTTTTCTTTAAAAGACATCTTGAAATTTATTATGCTGTGCATGGTTGGCCACTATGATTGGCACTAAACTACTGGGAGCCAATTGATAATACAGTTGTAAAAACACGTAAAGCATCAAAATATCATCATGAACTTGCTGGAGATGGTTTGTTGCGGGAGATTCTTGCTGGCTCGAAGGGGAGTGTGCGAGTCCTTCCCGCTGATTCCCCGGAGACTCCATCCCGGGACTCTGCAGGAGAGTTGGGACTCCTGGGCACTAATTGTGGTCTTTAGATTTCTCTATTTAAATGTATTTTTTACTTTACTGCATGCTATTTACACAACTTTTGTTATACCTTGTTTAGCGAACACGCCGACTGCAAATATTGATGATTTCGAATAAAAACAAAATTATATTTTTGGCCAATTAGCGCACCCGCTGACACGAAAAAGTTAAAACTTCAGAAAAAAAAAAAGTTTTTTCTTTATATTTATTACGACCTCTGCTGCCTTGAAATCTCCAAAGATAAGATAATGCATATTTTTTCCTAATTATATAAATTTGAAGCATTTAACCATCCTATTTTACATTCACCAATAAAATTTCATTTTTATTTTCTCCTCCGTCTTGATGATTGTGGCAAAACTATTTGCTGAATAAGAAAACAAAATTTTATTTTCTTTTTTATTCCGCCCTCCTCCGATAATCTTCAAAAAATAAGTACATGAGACAAGGTATAAAAAAAGTATTGCCTTATTCTTAATAAAACATTTCATGGTAGCCAGACATCAACTTGTCTTTCCGTTAAATATTACTAACATTGCCACTCATTATTCAATTTTCACGAATACTGTACACAAAACAGTGCAGAGGCAAATATATCTATGTGTAAGTGATATATATAACACAACTTATTATGGAAAAATTGTATTACATAACTTTTTAATTCTAGTGGTCCTTAATTGAGGGAAATTTTTACTTGGGTCTACCAAAACCATGGTCTTCTGTCTCTAAATAGAGGGAATCTTTAATTGGAGGGAAAAAGCTAATGATAAAAGACAAAGGCATTCAACCGGGGACACAAAAATGTGGTTGCTTATTGGAGGTGGTCATTAATTGGAGGGAGACCTATAGTATTAAAATAAATAAAAATATTGGGACTATATTGCTTGGTGAATAAAAATAATTACCAAATAAATTTTTTTTTAAATGACAAAATGCAAATCCATAATTTTTTTCTTGACATTATTTTTTACACTTACCTTTGTGACACAAGCTGTCATAGAATGTGTCTGGGTAGGGATTACCGGCTTGGAATGCATCTTGATGGTCAGCTATCAGCTAGGTGGCAGCAGAGGGGAAAAAAACAGATATAAGTTTCAATAAGTTATTGGTTTTGGTATTATTAACAACATGAAATATTTTTTAAAAACTTCTAAAAACCTATCTCTTCAGGTTTTATATATTTTGCCAAGTTTAATTGCTGTCCTTGTTTTTGCCATTTGTGAGTAAATGTTTATTACTGAAGGAGAAGTTAAGGGTATTGCAATAGCTTATCTTTGGAATCTTTTACCTCTATCTGTTTGACAATCTTCAAATTTAAACTCTTTTAAAACTAACTTGAAAACTTTTTTGTTTTTAAATCGCTTTAATTCGGCTAATGGTTCACTGCGCCTTTGATAATGATTTTGAATTGGCGCATTATAAATTTCTGCATATTATTATTATTATTATTATACTAGAGTGTGTCTGTGTGTTATCAGTCTGTCTGTCTGTGTGTCTCCTTCTGGGTGCAAAACTCAGAAACTACCAGACCGATTTACTTTAGATTTTCACACATTGACAATGCTACATGTATCTCGTTCCTCCTCAAATTTAGTGCAGATCGAAAGTAAGATGCAGATTTTTTAGAATGTTATTTATATATTTTCCGTTCACAAGCCAACAGAGCCAACCTGAGTGGATCATTAATTTTGGCCTTGTTTGGCTAGAGTATGAGCTAAGCCAAGCCATCGAAGCGGAGTCAAATTGTCGCCGCCAAACTGGAAGTGGTCCGGTTGGCCTGTAAACTCGCCCGATTGATGGGCTTGCCATGCATGCCTATGAAGAAACGGTCCAGGAGGCGTGCAATTAATTATTGCCATTCATTTTTCAGTACTGCAGACTTTTAGTTTAGTTTTCATTGACCATTATTTTCTATAGTAATGATTAGTTGTATTTTTTAAATGCATTTTCCTATCCACAATACCCATCATAAAAATCATTTTTCAAGAGTAACATAAAAATTATCAACTTGAACATAGAAATTAGTGTATTTAAAAACTGTTAATCCATAATTTTACACCAAAAAATGATTGAAATACTTCCAGTCACTGGAAGTTTTTTTTTTATTATCCTCGTCCGTTACGAAAATCAGGGTACACATTTTTTTAATTAAATAATTTCTATGCTCAAATCTAATTATCTGTATGTTACTTGCAAAATGAGCAAGTTATACTAAAATTATTTTTTTTGATTTTTTTTTTTTAATAAATTTTTTAAGTTGAGGCAGAGGCATGCACTGAAAAATGAGTGATTTATTTCTTCATTTAAGGATGATATGATCAACTTCTGTTGTTTTGTAATTTTGTTGTTTTAAGGTCTACATAAAATATTTAAAAAATCCAATAAACATGTTTATAACCGTCTGTTTTGGCCTACATTTTAACTGATCATTGTCATTTAATACTGTACAAAATAAATCCATACCTTTCCATACTCTATTCCGTATTGGTCCGTGTATTCAAAATATCTTGCTGCTCTGTGTCCTAAAAACAATCATGATGAATACAAAGCTATATTATGGATAAATAAGTAGTTTATAATAATTGACTAAAACGATCACCCTACGACCCTAGCTAGACTAGGTAGGCGACAAGTTCTGCATTACATGAACTGTATTGCGACCCATCACACTCACAGACCCTGTGTATGCGATATGCAGCCCAACCAACAATGGCCTAGGCTAGCCTAGACCCAATAGCTTATGTCTTTTCTTACCAATTTCTATGTGTGTTGTGATACCACAAGAAAGTACAGATGAAACAAAGAAGGAAGTTAACAGTGCGGATATTAAAAGCATGTTGCTATCCTCATTGAGGTTATAAGCTGTCTATTCGTCTTAAAACCCACTTTACTATTACTGTACCACTGTTCGACGAGACGAACTTACCCGATAACAAACTCTGAGCATGTGATTCCTTGAGAACTATTTGCTGCCCTCATCTAGGCAGCAGATTCGTTAATTTCTTCTGAGATCACGGTTTTTTTAAGAATAAGGAAATTCAAAAAAATTAAAAAGTAATATACACCGGAAAATATAAAAATAGAATAAGTCCCTGGAATTAGTATAAATAGATTCTGTAGTTATATACGAATCAAATCAGGCATGATTTTATGTTTCGTGAAATATTATTTTTCCCTCCTAGAAAATTTGATTTTCCCGACAGCAGGTGGTTACTGGTTTTAATTTAAAATAGTGATTCTTATTCTTGCTCCAGTTCAAATCATCACTCCTCTTGAGTTCATATCGTCCGAATTCCCTGCTGTAATCGTCATTCCGGTCTATTGTCGTCACTCTCCCTGTATGGAACCTGCCATAGGTTCACTCTGGCTGTGCTTGTTAAAACTAAAGTGTCTCACACCTGGGCGATTCCACTTCAAACAGGCATTAATTTTAGACTATCAAATACGGCTCCTACTTTTATTATAATTTATTTTTTGGTTAGAGCAAGCTTAAGTTCTTTCTAACATTCAATTATTATGAATCAATATTGTAAATTAAAGTCATTGGTTGAGGTTCAGTGCAGCTGTGGCGCCAGAAATTGGCCAACAGGGTCCGACGTGTCCGACGGAGGGGTCCGAACCAAGTCGACGGCCCGGAATAAAAAAGAAATCCCTGTTAGGGTTCATGAGGAGAGTTTTTATGGTTTCATTTGGTCTTAAATGTGCTTTTATTAGACCACAATATTAGGGACTGTCAATCAAATAATAATATTGTTATTTGGATAGGTTATATCATTTTAAAATTTTTTGGTCGACCTAGACGTTCGTCGGACGACAGGGGATCCAGGCCTGTCCGACGGGTGGGGAAATACCACACCTGAACCAGTGGTGGAGCCAGCGGGGGGGGGGGTAGGGAGCCCGTCAGGGAGAGTTGAACCCCGGCCCGGTGGGAGAGAAAAGCTAAATCGTCGGGGAGAATGTATGTATTTAAAACCCCTAAATCGCCATATTTTCGGAGGCTTCGCCTATGGAAAACTTTAGAGAGATTTTGAGCGAGCCCGACCACGCCTACTTTTTTTCGTCGGGGACATTTTCCCTCAATCCGTCCGGATCATCGGACCCCCCACCCCCTCCCGTCGAGCAAATTCCTCTCTTATTTAAATTAAACCAGATTTCAGTGGTATTTCGCGTGTACATTTTTCGATATGTTATTATATTTCATATTAGGGTGATATTGATGCAGAACTGATTAAATCAAATTATAAACATCATTATCACATCAAGACTCAGAGGTACGGTAAGCAACACACATTTTCTAATAGGCCTATTTTAATTTTGTGTACAATATTTTATTTTCTTTCTACAAAAATATAAACAAGCTGTGAGGATTACGTAATTAAATGTTCTAAAATGTATAAAAATAATCATTATTTCGATCTTTTTCCTAATCCTTTGACAGACAATTCAATAGACGCCCGAATCCCCATCACAATACCTCCATACAATACAAGCAATGAACAAACTTTTAAGCGAGAGAGGGCGCACGTAGCCCTAACGCATCAGGGCCATTATTATCTATGGCCACCCTATAACTCTGTAGCACGGCATATTTCATTTATACTGTCCGCCTACCACATGGCATATGTACAATCTAGTACTAGTTAACACTTAAAATAATTTGTCACATATACTTTTGTTCTATCTAAACTACTGCATTTCATTCAGTTTTTCTTATAGGCCTATATATAGCAAGTTATCTTCCCTTTCAAGTTGTGATTAAGAACGCCAATACATTGCGTTAGTTTATAATCTGTCTCTTATACACATCTAGATGTGTATAAGAGACAGGATAGGGAATGGGCGAAAGCCCGAACAATATTTGCTCCCTATCCTTCGTATAAAATGAAATACACAAAAACAATCAGAACTAATCAGAAACATAAAATGAAATAAAATGCTTAATTAAATTATTCTTAAAACAGGAAACATTAACAGAGTTTTGAAGTAGAGGAGGTAGTTCTTCCCAGATTCGCCATTGATTATACAGTTCACTATTACTACAAAGTATAAAAAGGGAGCAAGTCAAATTAAAAATGTTATTGATCAAGGCTGTAAGCTCAAGACAGACAATTTATTTCAACGGTAGTCTGCTAAATTTCGATGGAAATTGAGTCCTCGTAAAGAGCGATGATAAGAATAATGGCGGTTCCGACCAGAAAACCAATGTTTTGTACAAGGAATACAAGCCATTTGTGACCTTTGCTGGGGTGCATAAGCTCCGGCATCTAAAAAAATAAAATAAAATAAACAATCAATTAATTCCTCAAGTCATTAATCACCTAAAGTCATAAAACATTTAGTTTATTATTTTTCAGTATTTCTTATTTAACATCCTAGAAAAAAAATTTATAAAAAAAAAAAAAGTTATATGTATATGTATAGAGTTATAATGAATTTGGCCACGCTCTATCACATTTAACATCCCCCACACCCCAAAGTCACCAATTTTTCCGTGTAATACCTCTTTGCCTCATCGCATACGTACTGCCTCTTCCCCTTAATTGCCACCATTTCCCTCACATCTATCAAGCATATCGTAAAACCTAGAATATAAGTCATGGGCTTTTTCTTTCTTTTTTTTCGGATGGGCTTCTTTTTGAGAAGGGCTTCTTTTCGAGATGGGCTTCTATTCAAGGCTACTTTGCAGAGTAAAGAAGGGGGGGGGGACTCTCTTTCAAAATCAAAATCACAATTTTGAATTGAATCACAACAATGAATAGGGCCACTGTCAGTGAGTGTATTAACGGCATTCAATCACCTAAACTACGGTACTGTAATAATAATCCAAGCGTGTTTTTAATTTATTTAGTTTCTCTGAAATTCATGTAAAGTATATGTACTGACTATCTCGAAAAGAAGCCATACCATCTTGAAAGGAAGCCCATGGGCTTCTTTTCGACGCTACTTTTGCGAAAAAAAAAGAAGAGAGGGGCTTCATTTGGAGATAAGCTTCTTCGCGAGATTAAACCCATTTGCTTCTATACCGAGTTTTACTTTAACTCATGAACCCTTTACATCATGCCTTTAAAAAATATACGTTCTACATTATAATTGTTTTCTGTATCAACGATTATTGTACGTTATATTGTAATTGATATTCGCTTTCATGACCATGCGTCCTTACCATGTCACCCAAGGCCACGTACAAGAACATACCAGCCACAACAGCGAATATCCACTGGCGCGCCTCTTCGTTCTCTCCAACTTCAATACCGATACAGACACCCACGATCGCCGTCAAGGAACTTAAGAAGTTGAGAAGCAAAGCTTCTTTGAACTTCAAACCGGAATTCAAAAGTACAGCAAAATCACCTATACAAAAGAAAATATGGCTATTACGACAAACAGTTTAAAAATAATCCCGATTAAAGGTAACGAAAGAAATTACAGGGAAGTAAAGGAAAAGATAGACGGGTCGTGAGTATGAAAGAAAATAAAGGAAAAGAGGGAAAAAAAAGATGGAGAAAAGAGTGAAAGGTAAGTAAGGAAGTAAGACTAAGGAAAAAATATTTAACAATTATTTTTAAAAAAGTAAATAAAATTCTGTATTTTCAATTATTTATTTATTTATTAACTTTATATATTTATTTTTATTGTTGTTATTCTTTTATTGTTACTCATTATTTTTGTTAGGTGCAACTTTTAATAATTTTTTACCACACCATGCTATAAAGCGCATAGAGGTGTTTTACATTATGTGCTATATAAATTGACAATTATTATTATTGTTATTAATATTTTCCTCCGACAATTCTATATTCTTTGGCTACGATAATAATATAGGTTCTTCGAAATGTTTTCGCTATAGAAATGTAAACCCGAATCTTCCTACCGAACTCATGGGGTAGTTCGTGGCAAAGAACAGCGATGCTTGTCGCAACACCGGTGCCCATGGACAAAGCGAAAGCAGCTCCAATTGCTAGGCCATCACCAAAGTTGTGCATAGTATCACCGAGTAGTATCATAATTGCCATAGATGAGAGTCCTGAAAAACAAGAACGTGAATGAATCACGAAATTCATTTTAATAATTCATTCTTTATTAAGCAAATAAAAACATGCCCCATAGTGGTTTAAAACATCGCGTTTGTGAAAGGGAGTATCACCTACAAATAGGAGAGTGATATATTCGCTATCAATAAGGCAACCATTGATGCATATTTGTATATATATATATCTGTCTCTTATACACATCTAGATGTGTATAAGAGACAGTTCCTTGATGTGTTTCATGTGCTAAACTCAAAAAGA